TCACTGAGAGGCAGTTATTATTGCACCATTTGATAAAGTTGTCGATTGATAGTTGGAGTTGTATATTATCATTGATGTTGTTTATAACTCTTGATATTTTTTTGTCATCAGCGAAATTGTATGCTTTTGATTGACCAATGTTATCGTCAGAATCATCAAAAAACACCAGAAATAAAAGTGGCCCCAAAATAGATCCTTGACCAACAGATGAAGGAACACCAAATGTTTCTGAGTTTGAATTTCCCACACTACAAAATTGTTTACGATTTTCGAAATATGAAACAAACCATAGGAGAGTTTCATTACTGAGTGAATATTTGGCGAGTTTTCGAATAAGTAGTGATTGTTTAACCGTATCGAAGGCTTTGGAAATATCGGCATAAAATACATCAGTTTGTTTGCTTTTATCAAATGCGATGTTTATGTCAGCTGTGAATTCCATCAAATTCGTTTCAATGTTTCTATTGGGCAAGAACCCATGTTGATTTTTTGACAAACGTGGTAGAATAATTAATTTAAGTTGATTATAATTGAGTTTTTCGAATACTTTGGCTCCAGTTGGCATTATATTTACACCCCTGTGATTACGTATATCATTTCTCTTCCCCGATTTGAATATAGGTACTATTTTTCCAATTTTCCATTTATCGGGATATATACATTCAGTTATCGATTTCGTAAATATGATATGGAGCGGTTTGACAAAGTTTTCTGCACATTTTCTTAGCAATATTGGTGATAGATTATCAGGGCCAGATCCTTTATTCATGTCGAGCTCATTAAGTACGAAAAAGATTGCGTCCGGTGACGGGATAATTCTAAATGTGTTCTGGTCATTTCGGTTTTGAATAAATTCTATGAGATCATTGTCTGACTCATGTTCAGTATAAACGGATGAGAAAAAATCAGCGAATAGTTGAGCTTTTTCTTTATCCGTGGTGGCAATTCTGTCGTCTAGTTCCATTTTACATGGTAATTGGTTTGATTTCCTTTTTCCGTTTACAAATTGCCAAAACTTTCTCGGATTTTTCTTTGTTTCCATTATAATTCCTTTGACGTAGCCTTCGTATCGTTCTTTTTGATATATGTCAAATTCATCACGAGCCTTAATAAATTTAGATTGGTCATAATCTTTATTTAAAGTACGGTTGTTGCATAATTTTTTATATTGTCTATTTCTCGTGTTTTTGAGGTTTGCAAGCTTTTTGTCGTACCAAATTGGTTTATTTGTGTTTCTAATGGTTGATTTTGGTACAAATTCATCGATGACATCGTATACCACATCGTAAAATGAGTTCACCATTTCGTTAATATCGTTAGATGAAAGTATACTGTCAAAATCGATATGATTTAATTGGTCGTTTATCAAATCATAATTCGCTTTCTTAAAGCAATAAATTGATGGCGATGAATTGTTTGATGTAAAGCATCGTGGTTTGCATTCAATGCTACAAACCATTTGATTATGCGCTTTGTCTGCCATATCGATTGGTATTAGTGGTAGGTCAGCTTTTTCGACCATAGAAAGTTCAGGAATATTTGTGTAAACTAAATCGAGAATGTTTTGACTTCTATTGCGTAGATTACAAATTTGAAAGAGGCCCATGTCCAGCATATGAGAAGTGACGTACCGTGCAATTACCGCTTTTTCACTATTTGAATCACCGATCATAGGAAGTAGATCGAAACCGTCATCATTCGATTTCCAATCACATTCAGGAATATTCCAATCACCAACGATGACAATTTGATCAGCTGTTTTAACTTTGATGCTGTTGATTGCCATTAAATGTTGTTTGAAGACGGATATATCAGCATTAGGTTGAATATAAAGACAGTAGATATACAGCGTAGATTTATTAATATTTAATTTAACACAAACTGCTTCTAAATCCTTCATTTCGGGGGTTGAAAATTCTTCACAATCGATTTCTTTTAGTAAAGCGATGAGTACGCCTCCACCTCTATTTGCTTTGATTGAAGAGTCAGCTCTGTCTTTTCTAAATGATTTGTATTTATTATCTAAAAATTCACTGTCACTTTGAGATGGATCCAGCCATGTTTCGCAGAATGCAATCGCTTTGTAGTTGGTAGAATTTGTAGATAAAAGTAATTCATTGCACTTATTGTTGACGCTCCGTATGTTGCCGTAGAAAATATCGAAAAAGCCACTTTCTATATTGTCTTGTGACTCTTCTATTTCCTGTGTTGAATAGGTGGAGCTGTTGGAAAATCCAAAATGTTGTTTGAAAGATTTGGGCAAGTTTGAGATTTTGTAAAATTGCATAAGTCTTTACGAATGAAAGGTGTAATTTTGCAATTTACGGGCCAAAAGGATTCATTGAGAATGACTTCAGCGATTAGATCGCATGTTTCAATTTTGAAATTAACATATGAAAGACGCATTATGTCTTGATCTTTCTTTGTTAGTCTTATGACTCGAACATCTCCCGGTTCAAATTGTACTTTTGATCGCATGTAAGCTTTGACATCTTCCACTGATGTATTTGTGCTGAATTTTGTTATGTGAAATTCCCTATTCAATTTATTTCCTTTTATTTGTTTATGATTAACCATAGTGTGGTCATAATGATTAAGTGATGATCCCTGAAGCAGCGATGTAGTGCTTGATTCCAAAGCTTGAAGTGCTTCGATGGCAACAACTTCAAGTAGAGAGTTGCTGTTTGCCATATCTGGTTGATTGATATCAGGGTGATTGAGTGTATTAGTTTCAGTATTGTGTGTTGGTGTGTTTGGCTTAACCTCCATTTGTGGAATATCTTCTAATCCGGGCCTACCATCTAATGAACTGGTCATTAGACTCTTTTGCGTAACAAATTTAGTCGTTTCAGCAGATGAATTTAAGTTATTTGATGATTGGGACATTGCCTCTTTTTGCTTGTTCATGGTGGTAGGGTTCCCAGAGATCAGATCGATATTCGGGGGAAATTCTGTTTGATTGGATGCATTCGATATGTTTTGCTCTGTGCTGTCGATATTCGTAATAGTAATATCGTCCTTGTTGTTGATGGATAATACATTTTCCTGAGATGAAAGAATAGCGTCGACCAGCGGAGAATAACGTATACCATAATAATGTGGTATATTCAAATCTACTTAAAATTAGACCGCATTGGCATTCACCCTTAATGAAAATCATCAGCGGTCGATAGACACAACAAAGTACTACGAAATAATTGCAAAACTATAATTTAATTTATTTGATTTGTTCAAACACGTGGAAGAGAAAAGAAATCATATTCTAAATTTATATAGATGAAATGTTTAACAAGTGTGCGATGGTAAAATTGAATATAAAGAAAATAAAAAAATGATAAAGCATTTTTAAGATTAAAACACACTCACAGACACACACACTTTATATATAGAGACGTAATTTATAGAAATGATAAAATCCCTTCTTACTTTGGCAATGTTTCGGCACGGTTCATAAGACTAAATGACAAGAAAAATTATAAAAACAAATTGAAAATACGAAACCAAAAGTTAGAAATAAACAAACCAAAAACTATGTGTAGAAAAAAAAATGAGAATTGTCAAGTAAATTAAACACAGGAAGTACCAACAATCTCACATTGAAACACACATGCGTTAAACGCAAAATATGATATTAAAATTTATACCTATATTTAATAAACATCGCATGCGGATAGTAATGAATAAAAACGACAAGAAAAATAGTCAATATTAGAACCGAAAGCAAACAAATGCTATCGAAATAGGATTTATTAATATTATTATTACTAACTAGTATTGTTAAATATGTGTGTAAAGAAAACCGAGGAAAAAAAACACTATAAAATGGAACAGTGAATCAATGAATATGGATAATACCAACCAAACAACCGCATGAAAAAATGAATACAAATAAAAACGGAAATTGTGTTAACAATTTAATTCAGTCGCATTTTGTTTTGAATATACTTTTCAGTCAACATTTTAGATGCCTTCTCAACCGAGATATCACCCATTCTACGGATTTTATGTAAGTATTGTACGATTTTATCAAACATAATATAAAAAGTAATATTGAAAGCATGAATTAATTTTCGGCCTTTTGACTATATGCGAAAAAAGCTGACGTTTTTCAGATTTATTCAAAATAGCAACGCAGCTGCAAAAAATTTAACACAAAAGTATTAAACCCATACATATGTTTTTTTAACATGCTCTTTTCATAATCGAGCACATTTATATTTAGACAAAGGATCAAATCCCAAAGCGCTCATTATTTGAAGTGGTCTTCTATAACTACTTTCAAACTCAAAGTTCACTTGATCGTCTATGATGCACACACATTAGAAGAAACTAGCATGTATAAGAGAAAAGTACAGAAAGAAACAATCCCTGAAGAAGGAGAATTATTAATCATTTATTTGAGATAGATTGAAAAATAAAATAAAAAAATGATCATTGTTCAAATATGTTAGATGAGCCACTGTCTCAGATCAACTTATGGAATTTTCATTATTGAAATATCGCCTTCGTCGTCTTCTGTTGATTCATCGCAATTTGAATTAACCTTAGTCTCCTTTTTTATAACTGTAGGAAAATGGCCCAAAATTTCTTTTATTTTGAATTGATCATTTCGACGAATTTCTCTTATCTTACGCTTTAAGAAAAAAATTCAAGAAATATACGAAAACAAACTTGATTATTTTAAATGAGTGATAATAACGAGATCTTTTGTAACCAAATTTCTTTAACTCAAATTTTCCTTCATACTTTGAGTGAGATAAGTATTGCCTATCGACACATCGGGCTTTGAGCTCGCTTTGATTCTAACGCATTCATACAAAAAAAGTGTAAATTTTTGAACATATTTTTGGTGGCATTATCATTGCCATTTTGATCCCGCCCTTGAATTTCGTTGTGAATATAAATCAAAGATAGCTCAAAAGAAATAAATGTTTCATATAGTATTTTAAATACATAGAGAGATGCGCGATACAAGTGTTGACGAGAACCATTTGAGTAACAACTTTCCAAGAATGAAGATGTGCTCATCTTGATCAAATTTTATATACACAAGTGTCAAAATAAAAAGTGTAACACGAAATTTTTAATGTGATTACTTGATGTTAGAAAATCAATTTGATTTTTAAATATACTTATCACGGACAAAATAATTAACGAAATACAAAAAAAAATACGCGATTAACGGCAAAATATTTACACTTGTGTACAATAAACATCTAGTGTCGTGATTGTAGTTTTTGTTAGATAATAGATTTGGTTCTTTCTAACACCGTTAAACATTAACATTTTTTATGGGACGTAGAATCTCAATTATGTTTGCTTCGACTAATTTCTTCGCATTGGTGTTGCTGTTTTTGCCAATTGACGGTATAAATGAATTATATAATAATCGTATAAACTTTTAATGATTGCCTAATACTTATGATTGAAAAATGCTGAGAAAGGCTTTTGATAGATGCATATTTTATAAAAAATTATAATTAATTGTTTCCAAAATTTGATTTTGTGTGGTCTATAGAAACGTATTTTTGGAAATCATGAGATAATTTCTTGTTCAAAGTGTATCAAAAATGAAATTTTGATAGAGCCACAGAAAAGAGAATGCACACAAACAAGTTGAGAAAATTGTGAATTTGAATGTAATAATGATTTAAATAATTCCATTGTCGAAACAAACAAAACAAAATAAAATATACCATTCAATACGGAGAAAATATTAAAAATAACTGCTTGCGATTTGATTATTCGAAACAATCGAATTGCATGTTTCAATAATTTCTTTGTTCTATCATAGATTAGAGTCGAGCATTCAAATTCTCTTATTGAAACGTGGAATAGCTTAATTTAAAAAGTATTTAGTTTCTTTTGATAAATTTCATTGCCACTGTATTCATATGGAGGAATCGAATTCAAAATTTTTGCTCAAATATTCTTTTAGTAACTTCTAGGATAAGTATTCTAGTATTAAAATTTAGTAAATATTCTACACACTTGAATATTAAAGCGTAAAAAGTGTTTTTTGTAAGAGTTCGAAACCAGATGCTGTGACAGTCTTATCAGAACAAACCAAAACATAACCAGCTTTTAGACGAAAATTTAATGTTCTGCTTTGATATAAGAGTTATATATATGATTATGAGTCGCGTTTTGATAAGCGAGCAAATAATATGCTAAAGCCTTCAGTTCCAATTTTGTTTTTTCGTATAACTCAATTTTCAAACTTGCATTGAAATATTTATAAAATTATACCCAAATATCAAACAAAATGGACTTTAATTTGGATTTCATAAAAAGGTTATCTGTAGCAAAATAATAAATGGCACGAAATCGTCTCATTGAAATGTCTATGAAAAAATGACTTGCCAACGGACGGTATTATCTAAGATAATATCTGATCAGATAATTTATCTTAGACCTAAGTACAAATCACCAAATGGCTCTATCCTTCTATTTAAAACAAATGTATTGAGATTTAGTTCAAGTTTTATATTCTAAGGCAAATCTGTTTAGACCGTAAATTTAGGCAACTCCTTCGAAAACTGTACACATTAATATATTGGATTATATGATTTTTAATAATGTTTAAAGTTCATATTTTTGTTATCAAAATTTACAGCCGATGTGACCATTAATCAAGTTAATCATGGAATACCAAAAGAAAATGAAAATATAACAATAACCTGTAAGTCGGATGAATGTATAGATTGGATAAGTCCATGGGAAAAATTTCCGTCTTTGAAATACGCGGTACATGAATGGAATGGTGCAGAATCATTTCTCTATATGCATTCCGCCAAACTTATTGACAGGAGGTATAATGTGACGTATAGTAATGAGAGCGACAAATCTTTTGTGGCCACATTACATCTTTATAATGTGACTCATGAATCCGTTGGATTTTATTTCTGTGCGAAAAAATCATTTCAATTTCGGAAGCCACTGGACTTATTACCACAAGCTCCAAACGAAGAAGGTGGTATATCTGATGTCACAACAAACGTGGCACGTATATATGTTGAAGTTAAAGGTAATGTTAAGCATTAAACTTTAAGCATTGGATGATGTTATCATTTAAAATATCCTCGAACAGTGACAGACAACGCACCTTTAATCAATCGTAGAATTGATATGTTCGAGGAAGATGGTTGCACAGTTTCGATTCCTTGCCTGGGTCAAAACAGGGAACAAACTACCAAACTTGTGCTCACTGAGGTAATTAATTGAAATTAAATAATCTAAATGCGTCGAATGTTTGAGTTTTTTTATGATTTTAAATGTTTACCAGAATGGAAATGAGCGAAATATTAACCCAACGTCGTTATCGGATGATTATCCACAACGATACGAGCAAAAGTATTGGGAACTTGGCAGTAAAAATAACTTTACTTGTTTAGTAAATGAGAAAAAACAAAGCGAAATTGATTTTCATCTTCATAGAATGAGTAAGTAGTTTTCTCATTTATCTTCAAAAACATACTCATAGACATCATGTCTAACCATAAGGCATACCATTTTTCAAACAAAGCCCACAAACACAAATGTGCGTGAATTCATTTTTGTATTGATTTTAATATTTATTCGCTTGACAACATAAAATGTAGATGCATCATGGTATTATCGATAAGGTCCAAACCAGTGAATTTTCAGTCAAAAATATCCACAGATTTCAAAAATACATTGAATTTTATGTATCTCAATTTTCCTATAATTTATATGAGAAATCATCTTTTTTCAAATTTATTCTATATATTAAGCGGAACCATTCAACCGGAGCGATGAATATGTAGAAATTTTTTCAAAAACGAACGCAGATTTCGTTGAAGGAGACCAAATTGAACTCACGTGCTTGTATAAAAATAAGACGAAAGACACTAGGGCAGTTGATGTTCAATGGATATTACCAAATAACAATTTGGCCGAACAGGTGAACACTTGAAATTTGAAAAAAAAAAAAAGAATTTTTAATCGATTACTTGCATTTTTCGATATTTCAGGAAGGTCGTGTGGAACAAAGTGATACATGTAACTTTCAAGGAAACAAGAAGATTATCGTCAAAAATGCAACCGCAAACGATATTGGAACATACAAATGCATTGTTGAATTTAGAAATGACTACGCTAAATTTACAAAAGTTAAAGCAACGATTAATATTACCAATATTTATGGTATGATTTTATTTTATTTTCTCGTTCTTTTCCCAATAATTTGGTAATTAGATGATTTCTAAATTATCAACAGATGCCGATAAACCGCTTTTGACAGTTCCTCCGGGTATGATGAGCGTAAGATCAAATTTAAATACAGCCGAGGAATTGCTTTTTATGAGATATGTGGCCAAAGATGGCACCAAATTCTGGATTGAATATGAAAACATTTTTAACGACACCAATGGAACTATAGAAATAGAGGACGAATCAAACTTTGCGATAAATATGAGCAAAAAATTCCAAGCCGTCAACATTCGAGGTCGACGGCTCATCATACTGATGATAAGAAATTTGAGTTTTTCCGACAATGCAAATTATACTGTAATTGCGAAAAATGGAAATAAAACAACGAATGAAACAATAAAGTTGGTGGTCCAAGGTATTTAAAAAAAAAAAGTTTTTCATTCAAAATTGTGTCAGTGAAATAATATTTTTATTTCATGATGTATGTAGGGAAACCCATTGTTGGTAAAATTGAAACCAACGATCAAGGAAATATAACGGGAAAATGTGACGTGATTGCATATCCACGACCTTCAAAAGTCTATGTGACGCTTATGACAGTAGATGGTTTACCTTTGGCGACTCAATCTTTCAACGAAGTAAGACAGAAAATGATTAGGAGCATAATTTCATATTTATTGCTTCCAGTAGCGCAGTTCTTTTGTGCACTGAGAGCATTGTAAATTATGTCATTTCGTGTGCATACATATAATTTTATTGTTTTTACTTTTAATTTTTAAACTCTTCTCATTTCAATCCTCTTTACTATCAAGACAAACATACAACAATCATATGAATTTGGTTTTGAGCCAAGAAAGGTAAAAAGAAAGAGCATGGTAAAAATTCGTTGTGATGCAACTAATGAAATTGGCACTCATTCTAGAATGGTAAACCTGGAAAAAGGTTTGTATTTTAAATAATTATTTTATTGTTGTTTGGTTGAAAATGGCCATAACTTAATTCAAAAACTGTATTTATGTATACTTTTTAGGCGTAACGACTTTAACTATAATTGTAGTTTCTTCTAGTGTATTATTTTTTTTGGCTTTTGTTGCTTCTTTATTGCTGAGTGTCAAAAAATGTATTTTTAACCCAAGAAAAGAAAATATACCAATTGATAAGTTTATAATCGTAAAGAAGTTGAGACTATTGGGTGCTGGTGGATTTGGTGAAGTTCACCAGGCGATAGTAGGAATATATGATCCGTTAAGTAAAACCTATAAAAATATAGTGGCTGCTATTAAAACGCTACATACCAATTTCCAGGTTTGTATAGAATTCAATGAGTTGATTTCAACCTAATCAATTAAAATATTTTTTTTTTGCTTACATTCAACATAGGGAATCGATCAAATGTTAAACGAATTAAATACTGTTATGAGATTGGAAGAACATGAAAATGTAGTTCGTTTTATCGGTGCCATCACCAAAAATATTATGAATGGTAAATTTCAAGATATCTGAAGTCTTTTTATAAAATTAATGAAAAATTAAATTTTAAAGGGGATCTAGTAATCATCTTTGAGTACTGCGAAGGCCAAAACCTGCAGGAATTTCTAAGCGGAACTAAGTCACCAGTAGTCTACATTGATCAAATTGAACGTACCTGTGATGGATATAGAATAAATCAGGCGATAACTGAGACAGCTTATTCAATCACCAGACAAGCTTACAATCCAAAAAAATATTCAACAACAGATTTGCTTAATTGGGCGTCTCAAACAGCAAATGGATTACATTTTTTGGCAAAGAATGGCATTTCGCACTGTGACTTGGCGGCAAGAAATCTTATCTTGTGTAATGATAACACTATTAAAATATGTGACTTTGGCATGGCACTTGAAATGCCCGATGGTAGAGTGTATCAAACATTTGATAGGGTAAGAGAGGACAGTGAACCATTTTTTGGACTTTGTTTGAATTTTTTTTTTTTTTCAAATTCTACAGAGGACTCTGGCAAGCAGATGGATGGCTCCTGAAGTGCTGAGACATCGGGTTTTTAATGAAAAATCTGATGTGTGGGGATTTGGTTTGGTCATGTGGGAAATGTTTACAGCAGGGGCAAGACCGTTTCCTGATATTGATGATGGAGAATTCACACCTGAAAATATATTAAGAGAAGTAAAAAAAATGGAGAAGCCAGATGAAATGACACCAAAAATGTAAGAAACTTGATATCAATTTATGCTTTTTTATTCATTTTTATTTTCCAATTTTTTATTAGCTTTGATATCATAAAATGGTGCTTGGAAGAAAAAGAATATGATCGGCCAACATTCGTTGAACTGGTGAAACGTATTCGAATGGCATTATATGAAGAACCGGATTCATCATCGGATGATGACGAAAATAGACCCATTCGGAACGAGGCCACAGGTGAGACCACAGGTTCACATCAAGTCTCAGATTCAATGGATTCTGTGTTGAGCTCATCAAATAGTTCTACAATCACTATGCCGGATGAAAATCCTTCGTTCAACCAACCCTATGGATATTTAACAATGAGTATGCCGGACCGAAATTCTTCGACGTTAAATCACATATCCAACTATATAGAAATGAACGAAAACTCTTCAACGTCCAAACCTCCAATTATTCACCAATATATTCCAATATAACACCAATTCAACATAATGTCTCACATATTCTCTGGATATAACTATTTTTTATACAACTATTTCACATTTTTTTTATTGCATCATTACGAATCTCTGCTTTATTTTTTACCAAAAATATTTTAATTCCAAAAAATATTTCGATTGTTGATCGTAGCAATAATAAGTTATATAAAAAGTAAGTTACTTAAACAATTATAAGTTACATATCTATTGAAAATATCGAGAGGAGAGTATGTTTTTATTCAGACATTACTCAGCCATAAGCGCTGAATAACATACTCTCTTCTCGATATATTCAATAGATATAAAAATAAATAGAAATTCCGAATAATTATTTCATCTAGTGGAATTTGTTAAACGATGCTGGTTCGCTTTAATTTAAATTTCATTTTTACACTAGAAATTTCATCATTTTTCTTATCTTCTTTATTTTTCATCAACTCGTTGTAAATCTACAATATATTATTATATCGTTGTGTATACAGTCATTTGAATATTAATATAATAAAATCGCACTAAAGTAAATCAATATGAAAAAACGAATTCAAGCAAAATTACTGGATTTTGAAGCAGTCAACCGAGCGTTTGCTCGTTCGACATATGTTTTGAATATTTCAACAATTTGCGCGCGTTTAATAGATAAGATGAATGGTCGACTATCTGTCTTTGTGGCGTAGTTAAAAAGCAGGTCCCTGTAGCGCAGAGGCAGCGCGTTGGACTTCTATATGAAGGTAATCCAAAGGTCCAGAGTTCGATCCTCTGCAGGGATGAGACTTTTTTTGTTTTTTTAATTTTAACAATTTTAAATATGGAAAATTACACAATTCTTAATATACGACCATTTTTAACGAACATAATTTCGTTCACAAAGTGAAATGACACAAAGTAGGCAGCTATTTGGTATATTTTGATTTTGTGACAACATCACTTTTGAAGCCGGGTATTTCGTGTCATTTTAAATGAATAGTTATTTGAAGTATAAGTCGATATATGCATTGTATTTAATGAATATGCACGCTGGCATGCAATCATATACTTCATAGAAAGCTTTTCCATTATTCGAAGTGAACGGTTACAGTTGGCGTTGTGCTCCTTTCATACACGTTGTCCTTCTGACACCAAAGATTTGAGTGGTCTGGTCTTCTGCAAAACAAATGAATGTTTGAATGAAGTTCGCCAAACATTCCAATTGGTTTGCGCATACGTCTTGAAGAAATACAGTCTTTGCTCATCGCCATAAAAAGATTTACGTCGATGTGGTTCAAAGTGAAATATCTAATTTATGCTTCAATGTTTTAACGTTGAGGCAAATTGTTATGGTTGGAAAATGGAATGGCCGAGATCGATGTCGTTTCATCAAAATCATTGGTTTATTTAAATTGGTTTATCATTCCAACCAAACGTCATGAATCATTGCATCGCAAAGACCAAATGCCAAACCAAAACCCATTATCCACCATCTGGGTGTTATGAAAAATCAACAGCCTAAAACAAGTAGAAAAAATGATAAAAATTCTGGCCTTTCTTTCAATTTCGTGTAATTTAACGGCGAAGTTACGAAGGCCATGAATGTTGTTACAGAATTCTTCTGAAAAATAAGAAATATTCGAACAAATGACGTGATCAGCCTTGTCAGAACCACTTGAATGAAGTTCACAATTAATTTTATCGAAAAATGATTCATTCATTTAGTTCCTAACCATTATTTTTTGGAAAATCAGAAGAAAAGAAATTATTTTGGAAAATATTTCGTGGTTTTTGTTTTTTTTCGTCTATGACCACGAATAGTCACTTTGTGAAAACATGTTTTCACATTTCATTGATTTTGTTCGGTACTGGCAAATGTGGTTTTAAATAAGTTTAGAACAATACAAGCGAATGCTTTTTTATGAAATAAAAAAACAACAATACTATTCAAAAGCAGTTTTTATATGTTATTTAATAAATCATTTGTATCAATCAATAAAAATCAATCCGCTGTTATTGAATTTAAAGTTTATTTCATTTGAATTCATGACATTCTATAATTATATAAACATTGTAAAAATTGTACTTTATTCTAGCTGATTTTTGTATAGATTTCACTCATAGTCATAGGTTGCTGTTTTATTGTTTGGGGTAGCAAATTTTCTCTGCATTAAAATTTTATCATTGTTATTTTTCGTAATGAAATAATGATTTTCGAATAACTTTTATAATTCAATATCCATGTATTTGGCACAAAATTATTTCATTTGATATAATGAATACAACGCAAAACTTAAAATGATGAAATTGAGTAGAAAATCAATCAATATTTACACAGAGTGTTTACATTTAAATTTCTATTGGAATACTACTACCAACAGTAAATGCTAAAGTAGGTCAAGTTGAAAAAAAAAAAACAAAATTCAACCGAAATTAACGATATTTTAAGCAGTCACATTGTTCAGTCATTCGGCATATGTTTTGAATATTTGAATGAAATCTCTTTACGCGCTTATAATAGATAAGACGAATAGTCGCCTATGAGTGTCTATGGCGTATTTAAAAAACAAGTCCCTGTAGCGCAGAGGCAGCGCGTTGGACTTCTATATGAAGGCAATCCAAAGGTCCAGAGTTCGATCCTCTGCAGGGATGAGACTTTTTTTTTTTTTTTTTTTTTTGATTTTTAGTTTTTTTTTTTTTTTCAATCGTGCATCTGCGAGCATGTATTTTTTTAATTTAGAAAAAAAAATTATTGCACAATATACGAATAAACAAAAAATATAACCAAAGTAAAGAGAAAAAAATACACATCGCATTTGCTTACTTATTAAACTAAGCTAAAAATTTACTCCTAAACATAGGCAAATCATCCTCTGTATTTCGCTTAGAATCGAGATGAAAAACTCATTAGCTTTGCGATAGCTAATATTGACTAAATTCCGGAGAATAATTTCTATCATTATTGAATTTATTCCTTGCAGTACACAATTAAGAAGTGCACCCGAGTGAAAAATGGCATTGAATTTTTCAATGCGTAGTGTCAAACGGCATTTAAGCAATGAATCGACACCGCATGGCTATAGCGATGTGGTGTATGCACTCAACGTGCGCACGGACCATGTGGTCTCGATTTATTGCTTAAATGCCGTTTGACACTACGCATTGAAAAATTCAATGCCATTTTTCACTCGGGCAGTTTTATGAAAGTATTGAAATTTCAAGCAAATGATTCGGGATTATGAAATTCATACTGTCTCTTTTTAAATTCAATAGAAAATGAATGACAATGAATTAAAAAAAATGTAGAACGCATAAATTGAATTTTAATTTCTTTGAACATTTTGGCATATTTACAGTTGCCGAATTCTTGCGATAATATTTTTATTGTTTTTTTTTTCCTGAAAACACCATGAATAAATTCATGGAACATATGTTTCTTTTGAAAAATCAAGTATTTTGCAAATGATAAACGTTTTGAGTAGTTGATATGTTTTTTTTACAATATCAACTTCTTTGACTGGAGAAAAGATTTTGCATTATTATTTACTTTTCATTTTATTTATTATAACGTTTTAACAAAACAACTTTATGACGTCTGTTTGCATTTTCATCTGGGTTAAGAATTTTAACTATTTTACAATAGAATTTGTGAATAAATGTTTTGTTGGTGTTTTACAAGTATAAATATGGTGTCATTTCGTACCATAATTCAAAGAAAATTTTACTTAACCAAAAGGAAATTTCCAATTAATTCTTGTTTTTACAAAGTTCCATTAACGCAGGTAACGTTTTGATCGAATTTAATTTATTTTGATGAAATAAAATGTAATAAAGAAGAAAATTTAAGTTCAATATTTTATTTCTTACTAAAAAAAAAAACAGGAAACTCATGCAAAGAAATAAAATGATGATAGTTTCGAATATAAATTGCATTGTATTTAGTTTTGCAATTGGAATATTGAGTGCAAATGCGATGCCTTCCGGTGCTAATGGTAAATGTGAGGGGCAAATCACTTAAAAATTACTTTTTAATTATTATTGATTGTTTTACGATTATTTTTCGATTATTTTCCGATTACTTATCGATTATTTTAAATTTTATTCTTTTCTTTTGTGATTCTCCTCTTAGGTAAATGGAAAATAGGTATTATTGGAGCTGGGCCAAGTGGCCTTGTAAGTGCAAAACATGCTATCGACCAACAACACGAGGTAGTAATTTGGGAACAAGGCGAAGCTCTTGGCGGAATATGGTACTATACAGAGAAAACAGGAAAAAATATTTATACTCCAATGTATAAAGAACTTCGGTGAGTAGAATTAGTTGATTACTGTTGCCACGTATTAATTATTTGGTGGACTCTCTTCAATGGTGAATAAAATTGTGTGTTTTTGTCATTATTTTCAAATAGAACGAATGTACCATACCAACTGGTGGAATTTCCTGGTTGGCCATATCCAAATAATACTCAATCGTTTCCATCGCAAAATGAAGTGTGGAATTATATTGACTCTTATGCCAAACACTTTGGCATCGACAAATTTATTAATTTACAACACAGGGTAAATCATGTCCATCCAATCGAGGAGGGCAAGTGGAGCATCGAAGTCGAAGATGTGAAGAAAAAAAAGACAAAAACTGACGTTTTCGACGCAGTTTTTGTTTGCAGTGGTGTTTTTTCAATGTCAATTTTTCCAGAAAATATAAAAGATATGGATAAATTCAAAGGAAAGACCATTCACAGTCGAGATTATCGTAAAGCTGAAACCTTTCGAAGTATTTTAAATTTTCGATTTTCATTTCTGGAAAATTATTATATTTTTTGTTTTTGTTTTTAGAAAAGAATGTTCTTGTTATTGGAGCTGGGCCGAGTGGCAGAGATATAGCCATTCATGTTGCAAAGCGTGCCAATCGAGTTACTCTCAGCCGACATGTACGTAAGGATGAAACTGCAGAGGATCTTCAGAGGCTACAGAGAGGATACGGTCCAAAAATTACACTCAAAGGTGAAGTGAAGCGTTTAACAAAAAAAGCAGCCGAATTTGAAGATGGAACGCAGCAAACCTTCGACACTATCATTTACGCAACAGGTAATTTTACATTTCCATATTAACGCATGAACATTACTTAATGAATAAAAACTATTTTCGTTTGATTAGGATTTGCATATTCATATCCATTCCTAGGCGAAGACACGAAAATTCAAGTTGATGATAACTACGTGAGTCCACTGTACAAGCAAATTATAAACATTGAGCATCCCACTATGGCTTTTATTGGCGTAGTTACTGTCACAGCAACAATGCCCATGTCTGATTTACAGGTGAATATAATTTTAATTACTTCAATTTTGAGGTAAACGTCAGTTTAACCAATAATTTATTTGAAAAAATAACAGGCACGATTTGCATTGAAATTCATAACGGGAGCCAAGAAACTTCCATCACGAGACGCCATGATGGAAGATATGAATACTCGATCCGAAACTCTTTGGAGTAACGGCGTTGCCAAAAGTAAAACTCATGTTATAGGATATGCTCACGGAGACTATGCCGACGAACTTGCAACAACTGCAGGAATTCAAAATATACCGCGCGTTATCTCAGACATGGTTAATGATGTATTCACAACAATCAGAGTAACAGATCCATTTGGATTTCGTTCACTTATATACACCATTGAAAGTGATACTGAATTTTCTAAACGCCGAATTGACGTCGCCGATGATTCGAAATCTTCTTTGAGAATGAAATTTTTGAAATTCTTTTCAAATTGATCTTAAAAATGCTTTAACATCTCTCCTGTTATGAATTGAACATACTAAATGATTTGGTTAATACTAGTTAAAATAAAAATCTGTCGAAAATTTTAAATGGTTAAAATCCGTTTATTTCTTCATTTCACTACTGGCCATAAATTAACATCAATGTATGATCTGAATCTTCTTTATCGTAAATGAATCTATTAATAGATTTTTCACAGATGATCTGGCGAATGCATTTCGTAACGTCTGGTGTTGATCTTCTTACGATGGTCTGCAAAGTGACCGGATGACTCGAATGAAAGTGAAATGTTTCATATTGTTTTTATTCACATGTTTTTGATTGGATAAATGTAAATGTTGAGTTAATTGATTGTATCTGTCGATATTTGGCCATGCTCTAAATTCTTATGCAACGAACTCCGCGACAATTATATATTCCATGATGGATATGAATGTGAACGATGAGCTAAAGCACTTTTATTTTTAGTCACAAATTGTTACAAAAAGTTTTTACAAATTATATATATATATTTAAATTGATTGATTTAACTGATGTCGAGTGAGTGGGGCTCAAATTATTTATTATAAAAACCAACGAATACGGAATCAAACATCAAACCAAATTTGTTAATCAAACAAATAACACCTTAAATCTGAGTTACCAATAAAATTTCGAAAAATGAAATTCTTGGTACGAATTAGTATTTTTTTTTCTTTTTAAAAATTGAAATAACAATTAATTGAATATTTTGTTCGGAATTCACAGATTGTGTGCATGTGTGCTTTGATGGCAACCGTCATTGCTGCTGAATCAAAAAAACAAAAACGTGGTTTGCTACCATATACCGACTTCACAAGTCCAACTCAAACCTTTTTGTCAGCAGCTACACCGTTGACAGCCGCTCCGTTGCCGTTGGCCTACAATCAATTGGCAGCACAATTGCCCTTGGCTACAGCTCAGTTTCCAGCGCAAGCAGTTCAATTTTCTCAAAACACTTACTCGCACGAAAGTGTACCATATCCCGTCGAACATTTCAAAACATTTCCATTTGATACACCAGTTTCACAAGTAAATATTTAGGAATTGAATCACAGAACAAAAAAACATAATTTTCTTACTTTATATTTTCAGCCGTACCCAGTTTCAGCTGTTAAATACGTGCAGCAACCATTCGCAGTTGAACAATCTGTTGCACAAGTCAGTATTTTTTCATCAAATTGAATACAATTGTATCTAACTATTATGTTGACCATTTTTAGCCTGTGTACATTCAACAACAACCACAAGCTGTGGCCCACCCAGTTCAACACGTCCAAATTGCTCAAAGTCAACCGATTGCTTATGCCGCTCAGTCTGCCCTATTGGCCCATCCAACTTTTTCAACCGAACAAACATTCTCTAATTCAGCTTTGGCCACACCATTCGCTGTCCCAGCTTTAAGTACTCATCAAGTTCCAACATTCGGCAATCAAGTGGCCTTTGCTGCCCCTGCATTCGCGAGCCAACAAACCTTGGCCGCTCCTGCTTTTGCTCATGAATTTGCTGTTAAACAATGGTAAATAAGAAACAACATCGTGTCAACATTTCAGAATTTTCCCTCTATTATTGTTATTTGTTATTTCGAGAAAAATCATTTGTTGATATATTTTATGTTTAAACTATTATTATTTATGTTTAAATAAAAAAGAATAAAAGACCAGAAAACCAATCGAAATATTCGTCTTTTAAATTTCATATTTTTTTCGACTCGTATCCAATAATTGTTGTTATTATTCACCATTCTAGGTTCATCGATTTTTGTTGACTCAAACTCGAAAAAGTTTTAATAATTGTATTTTGGAGCAAAGAAATTTGAATGTTTTCATTTATTTGTTTATTCAGACTCAATGTAGTAATCTAATTCGCAGTAATTCGTAAACAATCGTAATGATGAGCCAAACAATGAAGTACAAAGATGTAATTTTCCAATACATGTTCCCAAACAAAGACAAACATGCTATTTTTTTTAAAGGTATCTTCATCTATAAAACATCAATGATAATAACACATGATAATACCATTAAAATATGAATTTGATATCACGGAAATTTTTTATAAAACAAATAAAAAACACATCTATCCAGAAAAAAACAGATCAACAAATTCAAATTTTAAAAAGAAAACGAGACTTAGTCATATTAAATGTATACATTTTTTATTTGCACATGTACAATCGTCTATTTATCTATTGGTTATTAAAATCGATGTCGTATGTGCGATCTCATTCAAATTCAATCTATTTTTAAATAATTTGCATTCACTTGTATTGTATTGTGTTTTAATTTTGATTATGTATATAAAATTATCTTATCATCAATGACTGTTGAACACATTTATCATTTTTTTAATCACCAAAAATTGTATTCAAAATATAAATGTAACGGTGTCGTTAAATTTAATCGTCCATATTTTACATTTATAGTGTAGCCAAAATAGATTTATTTTTTATCAGATTTATTATCAATCAATTTTTTTGCGAGGCCTTTTCATTCATTTTATGAAGCTAAAAATCAGCAATACTTCATATCGAAAAAACATTTTACCCAAATTGATAATTTATTCAGAAATTATTGATGATTCATTAAACAGTAAAAGTTGATAGCTACGTTGATTTGTAGGTGGGAGCATTGAGTAATTTTCATCGAACAGATATAATCAAACCGACACGTTTACAAATTGGTCGTAGGATGCTGTGCATAAATTCTATTCACAAGCTTACACAAAAGTATTTGATTTATGCCGATGCCCTCAATATCAACGTATAACACGCGTTTTATATGCAAGTGTCAAAATCAATTCACTCCCCATTTTTACGTTGAAAATGGAACTCAAATTATTTATAAAAAATTTTCAAAATATTTACACAACACTTTCAATTTTGGGGCCCGTATAAAATCCCGAATACAGTAGTGTTGCTGTTTTCATGTTGACATTCAACGTTCTGAGCACTTACCATAGTAACCATGATACGATTTTTTACGCTAGGAATTGTTATTCTAATATCGATTGGCATGTTGACAAACAGCATAATGCGGTTCAATAGAATGTAGGTGAAAGTATTTTGCTTTCTTTTAGTTTTAGTTTAATTCGCAATAAAAATGGAAGAACTAAAAGATGTAAGTATCCATCATACGGCGTTAAAAGTTCTCTCCATTTTATTTCCTTCTTTTCCTATATTTTCCTCGTATATGGGAAGCCCTCTTAATAAAAACAAAAATGATCGAACTCTAATAGCAGTTTTGGGTGGTAAAAAAAAGTTGGGGCAAGTGATTATAATATGGTTTACGAGCCGATAGAAAAACATCATGATTGGATAAGGATAAATACAGATGGGGAAATCAATCCACAACGATGCTGAGTATGTTGCTAAGCCTATGCTCCACACCTACCTGGGTAAAAAAAATGGACAATCAAAAATTCTCAAAATAATTGAACACAATTCCAGTGTAACTAATACAATTTTTTTATTTTTTCCATTTTTCCTCTCGTTTAGTTCCATCTCCAGTTTACTCAAAGTTATTGTAATTACAGCTGATGTAAGATTTGGCAGTGTTGTCATTAAGACGCTACACCACTTTCATCTTATTTTTCGAGAAATTTAAAACATCAAATAAAATTGAATATATTAAATTAAAATTAATTTCTGTAAATTGACCGATTAATGCCATTAATTCACTCATTTTTAAAATATTAAAGAAATATTAATGTATCCCAATGTGAAGCTTCTGACTTTTCGATCCAAACATTTAAAATAAAATTTTCTCGTGCGAATCCAAAAAGATCATTATGAAGTTTAGCCATTGATGAAGCCAGAGATTAAATTTCACAAAGTTCAGCCGATCAAAGTTCAACTCTTCAAGTTTTATCGAAGGAAAGTTTTTATTTGGTTCTTTTCGTTTTATTTCTTAGAATTTGTTACTTGTTTTAGACACAATATTCGACCGATTTAAAATGCAAATAGCACTTTCTAACCTACTTACCTACCGATAATGATAACTGAGACTCTCAGTCTGAGAGCAATTAGGAAAGAAGAAGAAAAATGTGTATGTCAGATTAGCAATTGTATTTACCTGTTGACTCAACAACTCCGTCTTTTGTCGGGTTTTCAAATATAAGAGGATCCTGCTTTCAATTTAACAAAAAAAAAAACTCATACAAAAAGTATCAACTGCTTAATCTTTTGAGCGTTGTTGTTCTTTTCGCCAGAAAACGATATTAGTCTGTCTTGCTGTATCACACATAGAAATGTATAATACAATTTTGATGAAAATCGGAGAAAATTAGCAAAGAGAGATAGAGCAAACCTCACACATATGCGTTTAATCCAAAGTTCTAATATGGAAGTTCACCATCAAGTGTCTGTGATTATTGTGAGTAAAAATATTTTTGAACATTCCTTATCTAGTTTCATTTTAACTGTGATCGAAACAACACCAACCGATTTTTGCTGCTTCTGTCAATATTATTACCAGTTCGAAACCAAAGTCCCTCTGAAGAAATAGAATTTTTGGTTTGAAATTTCCATAATAATTGAGGGATTATTAAAATTAAATTTGAATTCAAATAAAATACAAATTTAGGAGGGAATTCATTGCATTTTACCTAGTGGATTGATTGAACAAATCAAATGTTAAAAATGATCAGATTCTTTAGGCGAAAGAAAGATCGTGAACAGAAATCGAAACCATCAAAATCTGTGAGCAGCCATGAAACAAAAGAACGGACGAAAAAACTAACAGACCTGAACGACGATTGTTTAGAGCACATATTTCTGTATTTGAGTCTCGAAGATCTGTTGAATATTGTTCACGAAAATAAAATCCAGCGATTGATATCAGCCGCAGAATCAGCATTTGAAAGAAATTTCGGGCGAAGAGGATTAGTTTATTTGGGAATATCCACTGTTGGCATTATCTTAAATGATACTGAAGACGAGTTCATAATCCATCCGTATCGATTTCTGCGCGGTTTTGGACATCTAGTTTTGAAGCTAGAGATCTGTAGAGTCAATACATTGAAGTATGTACATAAATATTGCTCCAAATTAACTGAAATAGAATTAAAACTATTTAATAACTTTTATCTTATTAACCATTATCTTAAGATGAAAACGTTTCCTAACGTTGAAACGGTCAAACTGACTTATTGCTTTTTGAACTCAAAATTCGAACAATTTTTTGCAAGTGTTCGTTTGAACGAAATATTCCCAAACGTACGTAATTTGTCGATTTGGCACAGTAAGTTGAAGCCTAAGTATATCGCAATGCATTTCTCTCACTTGAATCAACTTAATCTGAATCTGTGGTATCCTTCGCAATACAATCGATATAATACTTATGTAAAATTGCTGCGCATGAATCCACAGCTTCGGTGTTTGTGTTTAGCTACTCAGTTCAACGTATTACTTCTTCGGGCTGCAAGTCAATATCTTCAGTTCCTTGAACAGCTACATTTTAGCTTTGTAGAACAAAAATTCAGAAAATTTGGCGAGGAAGTTCTCCATTTTCCACATCTAAAGGAACTAAAAATCTTGTGTTACGGATCTAATACAACAAAGATACCGATTTTGGCAAACTCTTTGAGTGCGTTTTTATTTGTTTTTTGCGATTCAATACTTGATATGGATAGTTTATTGGAATTTTTGCGTAGACATCAACACATAACTAATCTTAACTTGATTCTTCATCGTAACTACCAATGGAACATGCAAACAACAAATACAAAATATCTAGTAGACATTATCAGAGCGCTGCCATCGATGGAAGAAATTGATATATCTCTGCTGACAATTTCAGTGGATGATGCGATTCGATTTTTGGACGGTTGCAAATCGCTGAAAAAGCTATGTTTCAAAACATATTACAATGTCGATTCGGCTGGATTGGAGGCAAGATTAGGAGTGGAATGGCAATTAGTGAGTGCGAGATTCAGCAAATCGAAAGAATACGAATTGTATACTGTAACCGTTGTGAAGCGATGAACCTTAAATTAACAATCAATGAATGATACTAATTTAATAATAATTAATCATACGTTCGCTCCAGTCTAGCTCAGCATCTGCAGTACATGTGCGTTTCAGTGAACGCTAGCTACCGTAGGCAGTATAATATGCCAGTCTGTGTCAGCTCAGATGCTGGAGTGAACGTATGTAATTAATCAACAGAGTAATGGAATAAATTGAACTAAATCTTTTTTCAGGATAGAATTTATAATGGGAAATAATGAAATAATTTCTTTTTACGTGAAATATGAATAAATTTTGTTTTCATACTTGAATTTCAATATGATGAATTTTATTTATAGAAAATTGTAACCCCATGTATTGGCTTTAACATACTGAAATTTCATTCGAAAAGCCCAGGAATTGTTTATATTTTTTTTCGTTTTCTTAAAACCAAACTAAGCCAAATGAAAGCTCTATTGTTTTACATTTTAACTGCACTACTTCTCAGTTGGTAATCAATATAGGTGTGCGAATTTGCATGTGGCAGCGACCTAAACGTCCAAATGTTGCGAGCGAAAATCAACTGTTCATATCGCGTTCCAACATCATATTGTTGAAACAATAATAACAGTACCACCATCAACGATGCAAATCAATGTTTTGCTGAGAATGTGCGTTCAACAGTGTAGAGTTGCAATCAGTAAGTAAATTACCATCCATTCTAGGAACAATTTTATTTAATGTACAACGATCATCAAAATGAAAAATTAGAGGTGATTGTACTCCGGCGTTCGTGGTTCTAATTGATGAGAACAATTCGCCAAAAATTGTATTCAAAATATAAATGTAACGGTGTCATTAAATTTTATCGTCCATATTTTACATTTATAGTCTAGCCAAAAGAGATTTATTTTTTTATCAGATTAATAATCAATTAATTTTTTTGCGAGGTCTTTTCCTTCATTTTATGAAACTAACAAGCAGCAATACTCCATATAAAAACACATTTTACCCAAATTGATAATTTATTCAAAAATTATTGATGATTCATTAAACAGTAACAGTTGATAGCTACGTTGATTTGTAGGTGGGAGCATTGAGTAATTTTCATCGAACAGATATAATCAAACCGACACGTTTACAAATTGGTCGTAGGGCGATGCTGTACATAAATTCAATCCACAAGCTTACACAAAAGTATTTGATTTACGTCAATACCATCAATATCAACGTATAAAATGCGTTTAATATGCAAGTGTCAAAATCTATTCACTCCCCATTTTTACGTTGAAAATGGAACTCAAATTATTTATAAGCATTTTTTTAAATATTTACACAACACTTTTGGGGCTAAGTGTAAAATCCCGAATACAGTAGTGTTGCTGTTTTTATGTTGACATTCAACGTTCTGAGCACTTACCATAGTTACCATGATACGATTTTTTACGCTAGGAATTGTTATTCTAATATCGATTGGCATTTTGACAAACAGCATAATGCGGTGCAATAGAATGTAGGTGAAAGTATTTTGCTTTCTTTTAGTTTTAGTTTAATTCGCAATAGAAATGGAAGAACTAAAAGATGTAAGTATCCATCATACGGCGTTAAAAGTTCTCTCCGAAATAACATCAATGAAAAACTATGATGAAGTCATTTACAAAACCGTACAGGTAATTGAAATTACTTCACGCCTCAACCAATGTTTTGAAAAGTAAATTTCTTTTTTTTATAGAATTTGGTTTGTACGCCAGATGTTGACAAAGTTGATATGAAACGAACGTTAGAGCAAGCCATTAAATCAAATGGTTTAGAAACCGAAATTCGTAATGTTGTCTATCATTTGCTGAGAGCATCGAATAAAAATGAGATCAATAAAAATCCAGTGCAATGTGTTCGTAAAGCAACTATTAAGATTCCTTCCTTATAATAAATCCATCAAAATTCTTATGCAGAATGATTCGTTGAGTTATCTTCGTCGGGCTGGAATACTATGGGAGAGACGAGTTCGAAAATCGTTGAATTCAATGTGCACCGAATTGGAAGTCACTTTGCAAGGTCAGCTGAGAACAAGCGCCGAACGTGAGGAACTTTTAAACAAATGGGACGAATTAAGCAACTATCAAATTGGTACTTTTTTTTGCGTACCACAAAGTTCATTCAGTTCGATTTAATGCGTTCAAAATATTTTAGATTTAAGTAATTATCGTCCAGTGTACGCTCCAAAAGATCTGCTTGAAGTGTTAATATCATTAAAGGGTCCGATGCGACAGGAGGATGAGTAAGTTTCTTTTGTCTTGCAACATACCGAACGAAAAATTAAATAAAGTGTCCACCTTTAAAGTATTTATCCAAAATGGGAATTCTCTCATATAACACTGCCGGTGAAGAATTTGCTCGAGTTAAAAATGCACTTTCGAGATCTGCTGAGGCCACCGATACACAATTGGCCTGCACAGGTAAATGTTGATAATGTAATGAAATGTAATTCATAATGTATAACTACCGGCTACAGTGTAAGCGGATTTTAAGCCAACGGCTCGCTCCACTCAGTCAGCATGCGTTGAAAAAAGGCCAAACACCAAAACCACTACGTGGCGAACTCTGGTCGTATGTACTTGGAAGCCATAATTTTGTTAATGTACGCAATGGATTTATTTCGATTTTTTCCAGATTTTTTTTGTTCAATGTCAATGTTTTGAATTGCAGAATTTGCCTTATTGGGAAAAATTGAAGAATTCCGTTCTTATGACTGATCTTATTGTCGATAAGTTGGTTTTTAAAGATGTTCAATTAACTGCCACCAATGACGATCAATACTTTGTGTTTGAAGATATTCTATATCAGGTATAACACGACGAATGCCAAAATCCATTGAATGTTTGCTAATGATTGACGTTTTTCTTTCAGATAATGTTGTGTTTTTCTCGTGATACAGAAATCAATCAATCGATTCAATCGGATTTCACCAATATATCCAAATCAAAACAATATGAAGGTCCACCGTCCGGTGTTGTTCCATTCCATGGCATTTGCATGTTTGGTATTGGTTTTCATTCATCTCTGACCATAATCTGAAATAAAATGTTGCGCATTTTCTTAAATTCCATATAGCGGCCCCATTTTGTTACATATTCGATTCGCCGGAGCAATTATACTTTACATTTCGTGCATTTTACATTAGATACTGTCACCGATTGACTACGATAAATACACATCCACAGGGAATAGTGAGTTTGTGTCTTTTGTTTGAGAAACTGCTTCAAACGCACGAGCCATTACTCTGGTCGCATTTTAGAGAACTTCAAATTCAACCGTATGCCAATGTCATACATTTTTTGATACCGAAAAAAACTAATTATAGTCGTTGTAATTTTCAGAATCCGAATTGTGTTCAAATGGCTTATAAGGGCATTCAGTGGAAATCTTTCGCCTGATGAATTGCTCATTCTATGGGATTTGGTAAATCATAAATTTTTTGATCATTTAGCTTGAGCTGCCATTCAGTAGGGAGATGCATTTCTTTTTTAGATTCTCGGCTATGACAGCTTGGAAATAATTCCATTTTTTGCTATCATTATATTGAGTTTTCGCAAAGAGAGCTTATTGCAAGTTAATACGATAGAAAATATTGAAGCAGTATTGGCTGACCTGTCTTCGATAAAAGTGCTACCACTCATTCAGCTCACACTGTCGTTGAAAAATTGAAGGTAATCATGACATTTAAACAATACAGACCGGGGTCCAAGCTAATACAAATGAGAGAACCGAAGCCACTCGACTGTTAGTGACGTTTAAAATTTATCATTTAGTTGAAATAAAATAAATAAGCAAAGAATCATACAATTGTATTTTTCATCCTGGAAATTTAGCTTTTGAGAAAATCAACAAAAAATTTAACCAGCAACTGCAACATGCTTAATATTATTTTGGTCAAATCCCAACAATATTCATAATTAATTTTATATTTTCAATAATATCGGGTACATCACACGTATTTAAATCATTTATGCCATCAAAGATGTAAAATTCGCCCAAATTTCGGTTTTGGTGAATTTTCACAATTCGATTGTAATGCATTTTCGCTTGGAATTAAGTTGACGTCACTGCTAGATGCTGGTAATGGATTTAGATTTATCGGCTCTTGTGGAATAATCGGAATATGGTCCATTACAGTTGGTTTTGCGCTCACATCAACGAATTGTACGACGTCGGTATCGGGAAGTACAGCCGGTGCATTCTGAGAATCTGCTTCGGTTTCGGGTGAAATAGACAAAATTAACTGTCGCAGTGCTGGAGCCCATTGAGTCGATACATTGGTATGTTGTGTGACCAAGAGTCGATGCTGTTCCATAGCCTCCACGGCAACTTTATTTTCCAATGCTATTGTAAAGAAAATGTGTTATTTCTTCGTCTCAACTGACTAAATACAATCCTTACCTTTGGCAAGTTGGAACAAAATCTGTTGTGAAGCGGCATTCAATTTATTCTCTTGCCACATCTGATCCAAAAGTTCGAGACGTTTTCGTATTTCACTAAGTTTACCTACATCGATTGTCAACCCATCAATTAATCGAGCAAAAATTGAATTAGAAAATTCTCTTGCTGTGGCTGAATCAAATCCATCGTTAACGGCTTCTGTGGTCGGTGTTTTAATTGGAATACTTGGAGGATTCAATGCTGGAGGTGCTATGGGTGGAGGTGCTATGGGAGGTGGCATAACCGGTGCTTCAGCAATTGGAATCGTCGGCATTTGTGGTGGTGGTTGATATTTTGCTGTTGAAAACGGCAGCGGAAGACCTTCAGCAGTTGTTTTCACATTTGCACTAGTCGTTCCAGACGATTGCATTGGAAATGCCACGCGTTTATTTAAACTGATTCGTGGTTTTCCAGCAACAACTGGTTGTGGTGTCATTGATGGCATTGGCGGTGGATCATTCCAGCCCGGATCATAAGTTGCTAAATTTTCGTAAAAATGCCACAAGTTCATATTTGAATAAAATGAATTATTTTGTCATACTTACAACGATCAGGTGGTGTATAACTATTAGCCATTTTTTCTTCTTTCTTTACTACAATTTACAAAAATACAAATAGATACGGATAATTTTCGTCGTTGAATCGGAAAATAGCAACACAAACTTTCTGTTTTCATGTGACGTGTAAATAAATATGAGAAGATTTTGACATTCAAATGGATTGCTTTGTAAAACAAATCGATCCCCTATCGGAAGCTCATCTATTTCGAATGGAAAATTGTAGAAAATTCGTTCTAATTTGAAATTATTCAATTCTATTTTGATTAAATTCATTTATGAAATTCATTGAACGAAAATACTAGATGAAGTTTTATCGTGTCAACTTTTTTTTTTTATTGAAAAAGACGTAAGTCTTGATAACTTCATTTAACAATGTCATGTTTAACTACATTTTTATATTGAATGTTTAAAATTAATGCTGTAATCCTTTGTGTTTGAGTTGTGTGATTTTGTGAGAAAATATCATCGTTATCAATGATTACCGTCCGGCATGTATTGTCCAAATGCTTCTTGGCTTGGGCATTTTTCGATGTGTTCGCTCTGTCAAAATAGGAAAACAATTTGAATTTATTTTATGTTTACAAACGCAATGGCCTGTTTGTTCGGGTTTTATCCATACCAATTGCTGTAGCGAAAGGCACCGATGTGCGGTATTGAATGGACAAAACAATGTATCACATTTTGGTTGTTCCGAGCGGCATTTTATCAAATGGGCTTCATAGTGTTTCTTCAAAACGAAATGTCGATGATCATGTGGGCAACGAACGTAAACGACTTCGTTCGGTGTATTTTCCTTGTTTGCTTTTTGCATCTTTTCGAATGTATTCCTATAATGGAAATGTATCCTTTTACCAGATTTGTATGTTATGTTCGTGAGCAATCTTTTTTTCTTACCAATTCTTTAATGAAACCAATTGTATATTCTCATGCAAAAATCCTGTCGAAATAAAAAAAATCAAAACATAATCGTTCGTTGTGGTCTGATAAAATAAAAGGCTCACATTGATATTTTTGTATATACTAAAAAATGTCTCTTAATTCAGAATCGTCGACATGACTGTGGTGATAAAAAGCCACGCCATTAGTTTGTGGCTAAGTTTGTAGTTGTTTAGTTTTGTTTTGCTTGTAAATGAAATGTAATTTGAGACTGTTTTCGATCTGCCCTGCCAATGTATGAGATGATTCACTGTGCCCAATGTACACAAATGAAAGTCGGTGATTGTTTTGGTATGCGAGCACGTCTACGTCTTTACGGCGGAGTAAGTGAGACAACGTCTCAGACTGAATCCGATTTGCAACTGTATTTCTAGATAAACACAATGGAAAATGTATTCAAAGCCTATCAACATGCAACGCATTTTTAAACATACCAAGCAAAGGAAATACGCTGAATTTGCAGATATTATTATTCTGTGAATATTTTTATGCTCCCGTTTTTTTTTACTGTGACGATAAATGTTTACCATGAAAAGTAAACAAAGTTTATACAAAATAAACATTCAGCAGTCTTTATACAAAAATGGTTGATGTCAATTCAATTATAAATTTAGCTTTGTCTTCATGTTTTAAGATTGAATTGAATAATGTTTTATGCACTAGCTCGAAAAGAGTTTGTTCATTATTTTCAGGTATTTTTCAAGTTTTCAAACCATTACATTGACCCTCATGTTAACGAATACTATACCTTTCACGGACTATAATCTCAAAAAAATTCCGAAATTTTTATGAAACATGCTTTTCTTGCAATGAAATAAGATGTGCCATTTTCATTCCAATTCATGATTTATTTTCTTTTTCAAACCGTAATTTTGACATTATTTCCCGAATTCAATGCAGCATACAATATTTGGAAAATCTTGGAATATTTATTCTATTTAATCATCATGATAATTTTGTGTAAATTGTTTTGAAACTTGCTATAATAATAAAATTCTTTTAATTAATAAAAGTCTTTTCTTTTCAAAAATTAAATGAAATGATATTCGTTGAGATTAAAGAAAATAATATAAATGTGTGTGGTTCATTGTGGACGTCAGAGTAATCCATTACCAGTCTTCATCATCATCGTCATAATTTGGTGGTGGATTGCGTCTTGTATTGGTTGTGCTCTGTGAAGCTGTACCAGTATTGGTATTGTTTGTACTGACGCTGTACAAATACCGATCAAAGTTCTCGCGCGATGGACATTCGGCCTCGTGGCTCTGAAACAAGATTTGCTGTTCTTAGAATCAAACCAAAAAAACAATTTAAAAAAAATCTTACATTTCGCTCTGCGGCAGGGAATTTGTGGGTTACATCAAAACGGCATGTTTCAAGTACGATTTCAGGATGCTGTTTTGCGCACTTGATCAAATGGGTTTGAATACGACTTTTCAAAATGATGTGACACTTGTTGTATCTGTTGTTTTTTTTTGAAAATAAAGCAATTGGTTATCACTCAAAGCAATCGATTATGTGTAGCAATAATACAATTTGATACTTACGGACAAACGACAGTGTTTTCATAACCAGGCAGCTTGCTCATTTTGATAAATTTTACCACCAATCGCAAATCTAATTGAAATTATTTGAATAATTTTATAACACAAAACATCCAAGAAAAGTGTCCGATTAAAAGGCAACGATGAATACAAATGCGTTCAGCGATATGTCACGTTGACCACTGAATTTGAGTCGTAGAAAATGTGCAATAAAACTTTCGAATCCCTATCGGAAAATAATATAATTGTTAAATCCCTAAATGCAACGAATGCTTTGATCGATTGCAACAAATTATGTAAATTTAAAAAAAAAACAGATTAAATAAAATGCAATTACCAAATATTTTATTCAAATTTATAAATGACACATTACCATCGGAAAAATACGTAAAATAGGAAAAGTTCGAAACATTCAGTAATGTTAAATCATCCAATTGTTACGATTTCCCTGAATTATTTTTTTGATTAAATTAAACGACCAAGAATTATAAGAAATATAGATTGATTATATGTAATAGAGGATATAAAAAAGACACTTTGTGTGAATTGTTTTGACAATGAGTCTTGCCGTTTAGTTTTCATTTTTACAATGAAATTAGGTTCGTCCATTAATTTTGGCGACGTTGAATTCCGCTCAAACGTCTTCTTTCATTCTCAGCAAATCTGCGACGCTCAGCTGGTGGTGCAGGAGGTGCATTACGCAAGACATTTGCATTCATTGCATACTGTTGTGGATGGTATGTTGGAGCATCGTACTGTAAAGCAAAGAAGAAGCAGAAATGATTTAAAAATGTCTACATAATTTTTTGAATTCGACCAAATATGCTTACATCATCCCAACTTTCTTCATTCTCGTTGTTGATTCGGGGTGGTGGCATTGATCTTGCCAAGACTTCGTTGTTTCTTGTTGAACTGTTTCCAACTTGATATACGTTACGTTCAAGGTCTCCACGCGATTCACAGTTTTCAAAGTGACTCTATTTTTCGATTAATGGACTTAGAAATTGATATAATGATAACAATCACTCGCCAAGGTAGTTACCTCTTTTTGTCCTTTCCGATAAATATGTGTGGCATTGAATGGGCATGTTTCAAAATTGATTTCGTCTCTATCTGGACATTTTGCCAAATGACATTGAAGTCTGAATTTTAATGGACGATGGTTACTGTTATACGGACAAGTTACGTACTGATCCATACTGATTTTTTTCTTTTTCGCAAATAAATGATATAAAAATGTCAACGGATTAAATGTAATTAAAATTCAGTTGCAACGTTACTTCGATAATTGATTTACGATCGATATCTAAGTAAGATACTTGACGAATGAACACCAGTCACTTTCTCATTGTCTGCGGTTTAATCATTTTTTCTGTGTATGCGTATACACATACACTTACTCTACTTTCACATGATAAAACCTTAAGTATCAAAAGTACTTCAAAATCAGAGAATTCAAAAAGTTCAAATTAAATGGAATCGAGCCCTTTTTTCCGTCAATTTTTTTTATTTATATTCAAAATTCCTAATATTTGTCTGGTGAAAATTTACTCTTATATGAAATATAATTACTCTATTGGGTAGAAAAAGGTAACTGACATACACAAATGTGTATGTGTAAATATCCGTAAAATAGATATGCTATTTTTTTTATATATCTGTCAACATATTTAAACCTTAATTAACAAAAATGTATTTTATATGAATTGTTTTTTTTTTTTGTAAGTATGTTTGATGGTTTGCGATGGTTTGTTTTAATTTTCAATTTGAATCGTCGCGTCGATGGTTTCGTGGTTGGCGGCGTCGTTCCAATTCACTTAAACGTTTTCGTTCCTCATCAGCAAACTTGCGACGTTCAGATGGCTGCAATAGAGGTACACTGCGCAGCACATTCGCATTCTTTGCATAATTTTGTGGATCATATGTTGGAAAATCGTACTGCAAAATAATTTTTGACAATGGATTGGTTTGAATAACGGAACAATATGGAAAAATCCAAACAAAATTATGCTTACGTGATCCCAATTTTCTTCGCAGTCATTACTAACTTGCAATCGTGGTCGTGATTGTGAGGATGGAGCAACTGGCGCATTGTTGCTTGTAACGCTGTTACCGACTTGGTAATGCAAACGATCAAAGATTTCACGTGATGAACATTCTTCCATGTGACGCTGTTCAAAAAGAACGAACGCAATTTAACGATTCATGTCATAACAAGTGGTTCCATACAAAAAAAAAACTACATACCGCTTTATCTTCAGCACGAAAACGATGGGTAGCATTGAACGGGCATATTTCGAGTTGTATATTCGGGTAGCTACGAGCACATTTCACCAAATGAGTTTGGATGCGCTCCTTCAGAATGACGTGACACTTGTTGTATGGACAAATTACCGTTTCACTATAGCCCGCCAATTTCGTGCTCATTTTGATTTTTTTTTGTAATTCAACAATCACCCTAACTGTAAAAATTGAATAAAAATGTTGAAATTATTACTGTGGCTATATTAATTACTTTCAGAGTGTTGTTGTGCAACCAAAATCAATAAAATTCAAAATATATGAACATTGGTGATCTCATTAAAAAAATGCGAAAATGTTACGAAATTCTTTTGAATAATTTTTTTTAGTTAGCTGACCATGTATATATTGGTGTAGATTCCCCCCTTTAGAAATTCGATGGAAAAATACAAAATTGATTGGCAATAGTACTTACACGTAATAGCACAATTTATTATTTTTCCTTGGAATCGGTAGCGTTTCAACCGTTCTAGCGCGTCAATCGTTCTGCAGAGAATACAAAAATACAGTTAGTCTTTTGATGTCGGCTTAAGTGTGCAATAAAACAATGCTAACTGACTGTGTGCACATTGACAATGAGACTGTTGTACACCAGCCGAACGCGTTTTAAAGAGAGCAGTGTGTTTTTACAAAAAGAAATCACCGACCTTCAACGTGCCATACAATTGTGTTTGGTACGACGATTTTTTTTTTAAATCCACAAAAAATGTACTTTTTCATGATTATTTCAAATAAATCAATTTGTCCGAAGGAAGAATATAAATACTTACCCAAACACCGAAATTATTAAGGAAAACCTTTCTTATATTTATGTAAACTCGTATCAACACGTCTATTCAATGTGTTTGCTTGTACCAGAGTGTTTCCAAACAATCTCTTTGACATCTGTGGTACTTATCAGAATAAAAGTCTCGGTCAAATATACGAATCCCTATCGGCGAACAAGTGCTATCACATTGGTGAACGAATCCACTACAATAATATTCATCTGGCAACATGTGCGAAACCGTGTGTTCGTCGAAAATGTCAAAATATCAAATTCTTCTTTTTTATTTCTTCGAACACAATGGTAAGTATATCAAAGTGATCGAAGAAAAATTCAAATTTTCAGCATTATTCTGCGCTCTGAATGATTTGAAATAATTTTGAAATGCACATTGAGCCAACATTACATATGTATTTGACAAAAGTTCAGCTTCATTCGACAGAAAAATGTTGTATTTTTGATAAAGAGTTTTTCGTTGAACGCAATGGCATATATTTGTGGTTAGGATTCATGCCATCAAACCGAACACAGTTTCAAGCAATTTTTTTTAACATGTTTTTTCTTATTTTTTTTCTATCGCAAATTTAGACGAAGGGAACTTCAAGTTTTGGAAAGCGTCATAACAAGACGCACACCTTGTGTCGTCGATGCGGTCGTTCATCGTACCACATCCAAAAATCAACTTGCGCTCAATGCGGCTATCCAGCAGCTAAGATCCGATCATGTAAGTGTTGGCACGATTTTGAAAATTCGAAACCCTCGAATTGACTGATGAGATTTTAATGAATTTCTTTCAATTTATTCACAGACAACTGGTCAGAAAAATCAAAGCGCCGGAAGACCACAGGAACTGGCCGTTGCCGTTACTTGAAAATTGTACGCCGTCGTTTCCGTAACGGATTCCGTGAAGGTGGACAAGCTAAACCCCAACGCAAAGGACAAAACCAAGCCTAAACTTAATTCAATTTAATTTGAATATGACCCATTTAAGCAATGCTGTTAAAATCGAATAAAAAAACATCCATAGTTCGAATAAAATTTAACTCTTTGCACTAAAATCGTGACTTATTTTTTCTATTTATTTATGTAAATATTATTTCAGCTTTGATCCATTGAAAATGTAAATATTTTACATTAATTCTGAAACTGAAAACCCGAGAAAATAGATACGAAACGTCTTGTTCGATATACATGTGCTGTAGTATCGTTTGTGTGTGGCTATGTGTATGTGTATATATGTGTGAGTGAGATAATGTGACGTATACATTGCAAGCTGCAACGCAGTTAGTTTTAGAAACGTCATTTTGACATCGTCAAAGCAAGCTGTGTATTGTTTTTTGATGCTAATTGTTTTTCTGTTGCATGTCAAAGTGGTCACGACCAAAGTACAAAAGAGCTTGCGATTAAAAAATTAATTTACAATTAAATATAAATTTGATCCAGAAAACAAGGCAAAAAAATACTACAAATAAATCATCTTTTTCAACCACATTTCAAGATGGACAGTGACACAGATTGTAAGTGTACATATTCCGTTACGTTTCTACCATTGGAAAATAGATCTAATTTTTTGTTCCAAAACAATTGAAATTTTCACCTTAATAATTGACATTTTTTAGCTCCGAATGTGCGACGATCGGTGCGCAAGAAAATGCCAAACAGCGAGGTGATCCAAAGAAATTTGATCCGAAAAGAAAGTTTTTCAAGTCGAATGTCGTCTGCATCTCCAAAGGTGAAAAGACGTTTGGTGCTGACAAAAAAACCAAAGTCGGCGTTGAAAAAAAAACGGCCAACGCTAAAGAAACAAAAGAAGAAGGTCCAGCTAAAAAAAGAACCGAAATTCGATCCAATTGTCAAAATCGATCGTCTCAACACAGATCTGTTGAATGAAAACTATCGCTTGAATGGTGATATTTTTGATTCAGATGACATCAACATAAAACAAGATCCAAACGATTCGATGGCATCCGATCCACTTGGGATGACAGACAATTTTGGTAAGTTTGCCATTTTTATCTATTCATCTATCATTGTGTAATGATCATTTCGATATAAATATAGTTGTGAGCAAAAACGCGGGTATCTTATGCGCAATGAATGACAACTGTTCGATTTTTCCGGTCTTTTTTCCGACTGAAGTGGACAATTCGGGTGTCATACTATTCAACAGTACCTCAAAGAAAAAGGCAACGTTAAAAATCTCATACCCAAAGGTAACTTGTTCGTTAACCGATTTTTTTTTCATCGATGATTTATTTTCTTACAAATTTTTTTGGATTTACTTTTTCATCAAATATGAAGTGTTTCGTGGTATTGAATGGAAAATTCCATATTCAGGGCCATGGCACATTCAACGTTGGAGATTTCATCAAAGCACCGGCCGGTATGCATTTTTTTCAGATCGAATTTGAAACTTTAACTAAAAATTTTGTCATCACTTTTTTCCATTAGGTTCGCAGCTTGGAATTAAGTATTTGGGTGGAAGCGAAGCATGTGGAAGAATCATTTTCTTCAAATCACAATCATGAAATTGTGAATTTTTACTACATCGATAAAATGTACAACGAGCATGTTAATTTTTACTTGTTTTATTTATAAGATATAGTTTTTTTTCTGTAATTAATTAACATAAACCTCAAATAAATCGCAAATATATCGAAAAAATCAGTGAAAAAGTTTATTTTTTTGAATTCCGTTTCATATTTCGGTATGCATGATTTCTAGCCCATTGTTTAATGTTACCACCGTTTTTAGCTCGCAATAGTGCTGACTTTGAGTCGACATCACGTAGGACGAATGGTGAGAAGCCTATAAATGAATTTTAAAATAAAATCAAGATTAATAAAATCGATTGGCTTTGATCGCATTAAAATTGTGCAGACAGAAGTCTCAATATTTACCTGCAATATAATCTTCGTCCATGGCATTTGTTTTTGTGCGCGCCACACGAGTTGGAAATTGTTTTGGAATCGGTTGATCTTCAAACAAAATCGGATTTGATGAATGTTTGCCACCTCTTGGCCGTGGAATACTTTGATTTTTACCCTTGGCGGTGAGTGGTCGACGCAAATTAATGTGAATCACTTGTTGACCATTCTCATCCATGCTCACAGCGACACGTTTCAATGTTTTGTGCCCGCAATTCGGACAGAATAATTTGGTCATGATGCTTGTTGTTTTGAAGCATGCATAGCAACGCAGAATATAAGTTCGCATTTGTTTGATAATGCGGCCATCCAATGCGGCAATATTCAAATTGATTTGTTTCAGTACATTCTGTACAGCGAAATCAGTTGACATACAAGCAACTCGAGCTCGTTTTTGGTCATCGACCACTTCTTTGCTGCAAGCACTTTTCATTTCTTGTAAATTTGTTGGTGTAATCCAACTACTCTCATCATCATCATCCTCTTCGCTCTCGGTCTCGCTTTCTTCCGTCTCTTCGCTATCGTTCTCTTCATTATCACCATCGTTTTTACTGTCGTCTTTAACTGAAACAAGAATTTGATCGGCTTCGCTTTCGGATACCAAGCCACAGTTTAATTTGTTGAATTTTTCTTCAAGCTGATCAAGTGTTTGTTCGGCTTGTTCTGATATTTCGACACCACCAGCGGCATTTTCAGCTATTTCAGCTTGATCTTCTGTCTCACTGTCTTTTTCATCATCTTCACTATTTTCTTTTGCCTCTTTTTCCTCTTGCTCCACCTTTTCAGCGACTAGCTCACGATTCTGGCGCGTTTTCTCTTCAAGCGATTCCTTCTGCGGTGGCACATAAAAACCTGCCAGTGGCGTTTTATCCACCAATTCAACCGGTTTTTGTTTGGATGCAATCGTTTTTGCTACGATTGGTTCATCGCGTAAATGATCTTTGCCCACCAATTCGCATTCAAGTTGATAGGTCAATGCAATCACCTTTATATCGGCCGATGATAGACTCAAATAATCACCAGTTTTCTTAGCAAATGCAATAACATGTTGAACAGATGCTGGAGATGGCTCATCAACTACTAGATCATACGGCAAAACACACAAACGCTTCAATTGACGCTTATTCTTGATTTCCTTCACCACTTCTGGCACTGTGATTAGGTAGTCGGCATGATCCTGAAAATAATTCAACCAAGAAAAATTAAATTCACCGAAAAATTACACTAATTAATTTTGTGAATTACCTGCAGCGATACGTTGTTTATGAAAGCAGTCGTATCAACGACCAAACAATGGAATTTATGCTCTGGCATCTTAACAGATGTAAATACAATAAAATATATTGTCGAATCAATGTATTTCCACGTGTTGTTATTCCTATGCGTAAATAAAGAGAAAAATTGTCATGGTTAGTTTATAATGTCAAAACCAATGCGGATGTATGTGTTTGTCTGGTTCACATCGGTGTGAATGGATACAGCGCTTAGTGAAAGTGCAATAAAAGTGGGATTTTGAGTCTCGACAATGTATTTGTTCTAAATATTTTTCGTTGAAAAATTGAGATTTTTTCTGAAAAATTTAAATTATTCGTATTCAAGATTATTTCGAATAAAAAACAATATTCCTTTCGTTATTTTTGTGTAAAAATCTTTAAACGAAGTTTAAAGTGTCAAATAGGTGGAATTGAGCGCATCCATTTTCATTGGCAGAGTAGAGGCTACACGCTGTCATTTGAACCGTTGTCACATTCTTTACGTTCTCAAATTCTATCACAATGGTACGTGTTTATTCGGTTGCTGAAAAAATCGAAAAAATTTCAAATCATCCATCCATTAAATTCCAAAAAATCAATTTAAATCAATCGAAATGTGTTTAAACTCTATAAATTAGCTAACATTTTGTGAAATTTTTCGATTTTTTTCGGAAATTATTGTGTTTTTTGTGACCCCATTGTACTAACCGAATGATGTTGTTGTCAATTTATTACAGGGAAAAGTTAAGTGCTCCGAATTGCGTACAAAGGACAAAAAAGAGTTGACCAAACAACTCGATGAACTCAAAACTGAGCTCCTTGGTTTGCGTGTCGCCAAAGTTACCGGCGGTGCTGCATCCAAATTGTCCAAAATGTAAGTAGTAAAAAGAAAATCACTGATTGATGGTCGAACAATACGGCAGCATTGAGGTTATGTACTCACGTACATTATGCTCATGCTGAACCACCAATACATAACGAGTAATTTCAACTGGAATTCAATTGTATCAACTAATTGTGTATTTGTGATTTCTTTTTAATTTTCTAGCCGTGTCGTACGCAAAGCTATTGCTCGCGTCAACATTGTGATGCACCAAAAGACCAAGGAGAACTTGCGCAAATTCTACAGAAGCAAGAAATTCAAGCCATTGGACTTGCGACCAAAGAAGACTCGTGCTATCCGCAAAGCTTTGTCATCACGCGATGCCAACCGCAAAACTTCAAAGGAATTGAGAAAACTTTCGGTGTATCCACAACGGAAATACGCTCTCAAGGCTTAAGTGAAAATCTTATTTGATATTCGGGTTTTTGGAGCACTGAAAAAGTTTATTTTTTTTTGGATACAAAACAACAACCAACATTTGTTTCGTCATAGCAAACAAATTGAAATGAATAATAAGATTTAATCAATCAAATCTAAAGAAAAGTGTGTTTTATTTCAAGTGATATAAGGGTGCTGTGGTGGATTTTTGTTTGAAAAATGGCGTTTGATAGTTTTGAGCCATACATGTGTGTGAGGCATCAATTCAATGGGTGTGTTCGACCACCAAGTTCGTTTTTTTCTTCTTTGTGTTGTCCAAAATTACCTGCAATTCCGAGAGAAAATATCTATCTCAAATTTTCTATTGCTTTCATGTAAATCAAATTGATTGAATGTCAAAACAATTGTTCTTTGAAAAGGTTTACTTCAATGCTTTATTTGAACTCAAAAACTCGTAATACAAGCACTTGGAATTGGATGATACAAAGAGTACATATGAATTGTCACCGGTTGTAGTAAAACTATGTTCAGCACCACCGAAACTAACCGGCGAATGTGGATCACCGTGAACATACAATGAAATCCATGGAATTTCTACGTTTTCATTGACATAGGCTCTGAAAGTAAAAAAAATTGATATTTTAATACTCTTGGCTCCTCTTTACTTTTTCATATTTTTTTACCTGAGCTTCTTAAACAGCATTTTAACGAGATTACATGTAAACAGTCCTTTTAAGCGAACAACGAATGCATTTCCCACGGCAACCGTGTGCCCTGTGAACGACCATGTGTTCAAGTATTCCGATGATTCCAGGTTGCAAGACAGTGCCAACATGCCCGCATATTCGACTAGTTCATCGGGTGACGCGTAAAACTTACTTTGTCCATTTAAGTCAACCAATTCATCAGTCTCTGACCCTAAAATTGGTACCTTCAATCCATATTCAACGCTGGTTTTGCATTCTGTTTGATTTAGCTGTACATCATATCCCAAGTCTGTGAAGTATTTCGCAATTGACGATGGGCAAATTGCTCTCTTCTCATCTTTTTCCCTGGGCGGCTCCCAAGTGAATCGCATCTTAAATGTGCCCAATGATTCATTGGATAAAGCAGTTTGAAGACGTGCATAGTATTTAGTGGTTGTGGCTATGTCGGAACTTTTTAGATTTATTTCAATTGCTAGAAAAATACAGAAAACGAAAAGAAACAATGAACGTCAGAGGACATGGTGAGTAAAAACAATCGTGATTGAGTATGAACAGGTATAAACAATATATATTAAATAATTATGCATAAATACAATTGATTCGTATAAAATTAAAATTAAATCAGTTCTTCGGCTGTCGTTTGAAAGCGTTTCGATTCAATATTCAATTCAAGATTATTGGTTTTAATAAATGTTTTAAACAATTGTAGTTCATCTTCTTTGATTAGGCTCCATCCCTCTAGTTCGTTGAGTTGAGTGAGTTTTGGGCAAATTTCAACGAATTTATATGCCATGCCAATGGTTAATCCGTCTGAACGGAGAATGCTCAATTCTTCCAAATGTTCCATTGGATTCCGCGATAAAATGTATTCAAATAGTTCATCGGTGGTCGGTACCATCATTCCGCATTTGATCACTTTGATTTGTAAACATGTGGACCATAAAAATTCCAAATGACGACGGTCACACTGGGCGATCACGGTTAATTTCTCCAAATTCATAAACGGCGGTATGGATGGTTTTTGTAAATAAAGCGACGTACTTTCGATCATTTCACAATTGTAAATGGTGAAAACCTGCAAATCCGGACAATATTGACTGATATACATGAGAGCATTCATATCGATTTGATCGACGTGTTCCAAATGAAGATGCGTTAAATTACATCCTTTGACAGCGAGTACATCGCGAATTTGATCACTGAAAAAGTCACACGATAACAAATGAAGAATGGACAATTTATTGATGCCAATGAGCGCAGTGAGATCGCATATTAACATATTGAAAAAAATTGACACATGCTGCATCTCTGGACAATATTCCGAAATGATTTGCAAAAATCGAGTAGTCACATATCGACTGCAGAATTTTTTCAACGCAAATCCTTTAAAATCATGGTAATTATCAGCGATATACTCCAAGCAACGGCCAATTTCATCGAATGGTCCAATGTCTTCAATTTTTTTCAGCCCCAATAAGAGTTTAATATACCCTTCCATTGTCACCGATGTCCGATGCAAATTAACGAATCGCAGAGATGGTATTCGTACCAATAAATTAACGCTATCATCATTAACGGCTTTCGACGATGAAAGATCAAGGCAAGTAAGACGCGGACATTTTTCGATCAATTTCAGTAGAAGATTATCGGTACAGTCATAATTTATGCTCAGATATTGCAAATTTGACATATTGTCCAAACCCAACATAATCGTCGGTTCCATGTCGTCCGTTTTCCATCCGCCCGTCAATGAACCCAAATTCAAAAATTCCAATCCCTTCATGTCTTTGAGTCGCATATAGAAAATTTGTTGCAACACTTTTGGTGTCTCCTCGAAATTATGATACGTTAGATATGGGCCGATGATTGTTTCCACAAGTGTGACGGCCACATTAATTTGTGACATAAATTCGCCTTGTGTTGTCTTTATGCTGCGTCTTGCCTTAATGCGATCCACCATTCTCGGTATTTCGCTGAACAGAGACATGCGAAGCCGATCAAACAGGTAACACGGCACATTGTATTGGAATAAATCATGTAAAATTGCAACGCGTGCCCGAAGTATCTCTTGCAATTGTTTTTGAGTAAAACTATTGCGATGACTTTCCGACAATGACTTGGTTGAAGATTTACGGCGGCGTCGTGCCAACTCACGAATTTGTTCTAAATCCAATTCGCGAATTTGTTCCAATTCGTCCAAAAAATCAATTTCATCTTCGATATACTCGTCATCATAAGCATTCAAATCCATTGCGTCCATGTGAAAATCGGGCATAACTAGTTCAAATGCTTTCGTGTATAGTGGCATCAATTCTTCGCCCAAATCACGAATATAAGCTGTGAGCGCTCTCAATGCGAGCGTTTCAAGACTTTTCACTTGCTTATATTTTGGCATTGTTTTGTGTACCGCCGAAGTTCAATTCACGCTACAAAGCAAGAACAAACGAATTCAATATCACTTACCCAACAACAACAAAGAACTGCATAAATTTAGTTAGATTTTGACAATTTCGAAAAAAATAAATCATTCTTAAATCCAATCGGTTCAAATAATATGGATGCGTTAATTACATTTTGGAAATTATTCAAAACTTACTGTAACGATTGCGATGTTTTTTAGCGAACGCTGATAATTTTCCTTCAATACCAAGACGATGATACGTGTCTTTGGTAACCGATAGACAAAATATACCCTCAGGCGTGATGCAAACACAGTTATCAACGTCAATTCGCGTATCAACTGACGTACCATAAAATTGACCTGCGTAAATAAAAAGGAATTCGATGACCGAAAATTAAACAAAAAACAAATTGACGGTGACCGGTGACTAACCTCTTTTTACAAAGGCTTCAATAAACGGCTTCTTTGTGAATTCCGTCAATGGCAAATCGTTGAGCTGATAGTGGTCGGTATCCTTTAAAAATGGTAAAATTGTATCGGGTATTGCCTGTCGATCCGGTAGTATGATGGTAATCTGCAATAATTCAGCGAAAGAAACCAGAAAAATTATTAAAAATGTCCCGAATAGATGAGCTATTACGTCTTTTTAAATCGTTCAATTTCCGTACACTAAATCTCACGGTCTTTATATAATTTGTAATTTTGTCTGTCGATACGAGATGCTTTTGATTTATGTGTGGTGTGTTTTGGCAAGTGACAACCAAATATGCTAGCGAAAGCAATTACAGATGCAAATTTTTATGATCTAATGTCTCTAAGCACAGCACAAAATTGAATAAATCCGAGAACGGAAAGTCGATGTGTGTGCGATCGAACAAAGGATTTTTTCTTGACTAAAAATGTTGTTGCTGCGTATCGCGTTGAGTGAAACGATCAAACCGTTGTGTTTTTTTTCTCACTCTTGTTTTTCTCATCGAATTCTATTTATATCATGATTTTTTGAATGTATATTACCAAAGAGGCAACGGACGCGCAAAATGTTCATAAACCGTGCACAACATTCGTTGTAGACAACACGAAAGCGGAACAGAGATAGATTCATTTTCGATTTTTTTCTCATATTGATTAAAAATAGATAGAAAAAAGTTTGGGATCAGCCGATGATTAAAAAATAGCTTATTTACAAGAGAAAATACGCATTCGATGCAATTACAATGTAAACAAAGAACGCATTGAAAAAACTAATCAGAATTTTTACAAAAATAAGTCACAAAATGTCATTTTTGATCATCATAAATTTAAATCTTACCACTCGATTAAACGGATGACTATGAATTCGCTTGCAGATTTGTTTTTCATGTTTTTCATTTGATTCACTGTATTTGTGTACAATTTGTGTGTTTGGTGGCTCAAACGACCAAACATTCGGTGCAAACATTGTATACTTTTTTCTCTTTCTTAGTATCTTGCTTGTTTACGTCTCCAATTTTATCCAATGAGCTATGATTAATTTTAAGCTCAACAAAAACGCACTGTTTTCGTCAACAACTCGTATTTTCAATGAATTTTTATTAATAAACTTTTAGATAAAAAAAACTGCATAATTTATACGTTATCAGAAAAAAACTGTTGATTTATATGTGTACAGGCGAAAGCGAGGTTCGACAAGGTGTTTACACTCAGTTTTGTAATGTAAATGACTAGTTTTGAATGACAGTTCTGTCAAAAGTAAGTTGTTTGTGCACGTGTTTACCGGCTACAGTGAAACTGCGCGCAATTTAACATTCAAACCATTTTGACATATACGTAGAAAAACAACAACGCACCGGACCTAGCTGTCTATTTGAAGCGGACGATTTTTGTTTATTTTCCATTCATTTTTATTTTTAAAATATTTGGAATAAAAAAAAGAAAAGAAAAAAAAAGATAACTTCAATTGTAGGTATGTGCAAGTGACGATTTCACAAATTTCCGACATGACATTAGAAGCTAATTGCTGATAAACTTATCTTTTTCAGTGCAAAAAAAAAAACTAAACAGTGAAACATGAATATTGGCGATATTTTCCCGAATTTTGTGGCCAATACCACAGTTGGTGAAATTGATTTTTATAACTGGCTTGGAAATTCGTAAGTTCAATGATCTTTTTTTTTCATTGTCGCCAAATGCAGATGACACATATTTAAGAAAATATTAATTCCATGTTTTTAGTTGGGGCATTTTATTTTCCCATCCAGCTGATTTTACACCAGTGTGTACAACTGAGTTGGCCCGTGTCGTTCAATTGTATCCCGAGTTTCAAAAGCGTAATATCAAACCGATTGCTCTGTCAATTGATTCGGCTGAATCGCATTTGAAATGGATTCCAGATATAAAAGCCTATGGAAACATTGACGAAAACACCGAATTTCCGTATCCAATCATTGACGATCAAAATCGTTCGTTGGCGGTGAAATTCAACATGTTGGATCAAGATGAAGTCAATTCAAGTGGAATTGTTTTGACTTGCCGGGCTGTGTTTGTAATTGATCCAAATCGCAAATTGCGACTCTCAATTTTGTATCCGGCATCATCGGGCCGAAACTTTGAGTGAGTTGCAATTATTCAAATATTCTTAATAGATAATGGAGCCTAATGTATGTCATTTATAGTGAAATCTTGCGAGTCATCGATTCAGTCCAATTGACCGATTCACACAAAGTGGCCACACCCGTCGACTGGAAGGTATATTGTTTGCATTTGTTGCTTTTTATTGAAAATTGACTCTTGGTTTACATTCTGAAATAGGTCGGCGACGAGTGTATGGTTCTACCAACAATAAAAAATGAAGAGTGTTCGAGTTTGTTTCCAAAAGGCGTCAACACATTTGAAGTACCTTCGGGAAAATGTTATTTGCGCAAAACACCATATCCAGCATCCGAATAATCACTACATACAAAAATCAAATCTCATTTTTTATTCCAAAAAATAAACAACAATCATATATTTTTGCGAATAAATTCTATTTCGATTCATATGAAATTGTGTGTTATTTTTGAGCCGTTGCCTACATCATTTTAGTCGCTTAAGAGACAGCGGAATATTCGAAATACGTAGAAAATGACACATTACGTTTCCACATAAACGATATAGTTGAATTTGACAGTTAGTCGGTGCTAATAAGTTATGAAAAAACCACCAATACACAGCTGTGTGTTCAGTAATTTGTTTACGTCTAGGAGCATAGCACAAAAGTGTCTATTGCTTAATAACTGAATTTTATTTTTCATTTGTTTTGCATTAAATTTTGATTTTTGTCGAAGTCCTACTTTACATTAATTTATCAATAAATTGTAAGTACAGTAATTGAGACGACGTGAAAGAAATTTTCGTGCATTATAACCTATTTAGAAAGTTGATTTAATGCATTGGTCTAAAGGTCATTTTGTGCCATACATGCATAGCTAATGCATAGTACGACATTGAAATCTCATCACACTGTTCACGTTTAGTCTTTTTGTTTGCAGTTAATCAATTTCTTCGTCAAGAAAAAAACTTCCCATTCAACATGTCTGAAAATCAAACTAGCCCAATTAAATATTTCTTAAGCGGTGGATTTGGAGGTGTTTGCACAGTCATTGCAGGTCATCCATTAGATACAATCAAGGTATAATTATCATGTGGTGCTATTTTTATCTCCTTTGATAAAGAAATCTTTCGATTTATTTTTAGGTTCGATTACAAACAATGCCACTGCCTGCACCTGGGCAATTACCTCAATACGCGGGCACATATGATTGTGCAAGGAAAACCGTTCAGCGAGAAGGTTTTCGCGGACTGTACAAAGGTTGATCAAATTTTTATACCGATAATTATTGTCTGTTTCCTTAATTAATTTAATTCTTTCATCGATCAGGTATGTCGGCACCATTAACGGGAGTCGCACCAATTTTCGCCATAAGTTTCTTTGGCTTTGGCTTAGGAAAACGTTTACAACAAAAAACGCCCGAAGAAAAGTTGACAAATGTCCAACTGTTTGCGGCTGGTGCATTTTCGGGCATATTCACAACATCGATCATGGCACCGGGTGAACGCATTAAATGCTTACTTCAAATTCAACAAGGCGGCGGTGCTCCACAAAAATACAATGGCATGGTTGATTGTGCCAAACAATTGTACAAAGAAGGTGGCATTCGAAGCGTTTACAAAGGATCGGTTGCTACATTGTTGAGAGGTAAGACACTACATAAACTCCAATTTAAAAGTATTTTGACTGAGCAAAGACAAACTTGTTTCAAATTTCCAATGGGATAAAATCAATTCCGACAGCATATGTTTATTGGAAAAAAAATTAAAGTTTATTCAATCTATAATATTCAAAATTACATATTTCAATTGAATATGAAAATGACTTAAATGTTATGTCGACCACTATGGCCTAATATACTGTCAAACATACGCGACATTATTTGAATGAACTTCTTCGTGAATTGTTTGCGTATTTTTGGACATAGTTCGTTTAACTTTATCTTCAAATTGCATTTTTCGGATTTTCTTATTGGTCCACTGTTGTGATGACCATGAAGTTTGCCCATTATCTGTATGTCCTTGTGTTCGTGATAATTTTTCCAAAGTAATAATCAGTTTCTTTTGTTCACGTTGTTTTTGCAATTTTTTCTTATTCAATTCAATCGTGGCTGGAGCGCATTTCTTGGTATGGCGCAAAATATAATAAACATTTTGAGCATTTGGACTCGTTGCACTATCGGTGCACAGTGGTGTCATTTTATTGTCAAATCCATAAGAATACTGTGGAAAATCATCGTATTGATCATTACAGTATTCGATTCGGCCTGTTTTCGGATTACGTATACAATTCTCGTCGCGGTTTGTCGTTTGTTTGCTCAACCGTATGCTATTGGTAATCGCTTGATTCCATTTCATCATATCACATGTGCAAACTAACGGATTATTTGTTATTCGCACCAATTTCAATGATTTATCGTCAAAGAAATTGTTTGGTAAATTTTCTAAATGATTATTCTGCAGATAAACCTCTTGTAATTTCTTTTGCTCATCGAAAACGCCAGCCGGAATCAGAGACAATCCATTGTCGGATAAATCAATGATGCGCAAATCTTTAATGCCAAAGAATGCATCCATTGAAATTTCAACAATGCCACAACCGCTCAAGATAAGCTCCTTCAAATGCGGCATCTCCGAAAATGTATCGTATTCAATGCGTTCAATTAAACCTTTTAATCTCAACCGTTCCACGTCTTTTAGTCCATTGAATAGAGTTTGATACAAACTCGGCGAATGAACATTCAATATGTTCAGCGTTTTTAATTGATCAAGTGATAAAAAGGCGCCATGTGTATTGGCCAAATCTAATGCAGTTGCTTTTGATCCGAGAATTAATTCTTTTGTGGTATTGAGTACGGCAAATGTCATCGGCAGAATGTATTCGATTGGATTGTTCTGTAGATCAATTAATCTCAAGCTCGGAAACGGCGGGAATGTTGCTTCGGATAATTTTGACAGATTGTTTGATGATAGATCCAAATGTTCAAGATCAAGCAGACCGGCCAAGGCTAAATAATTTAAATCTAAAATATCATTATTGGCTAATGATAATGTTCTTAAGTGTAAAGCACCGTAAAATGCAAACGATGGCACCACCTTGATATCATTGTGCTCCAATGATAAATGTTGCAAATTCTCCAAACCGGCAAACATTTCCCATTCAACTTCATCCAAATGACAATTATGAATGCGCAACACTTCCAAATTGAACCAACCGAAAAAATTTGGTCGCATTGATTTGGTCAATTCCATTTTGTACACGTCGTAGGGAACGATTTCAATTTCATCTTCAGCATCTTCGCCATTTTCTATTTCTTCATACATTGTATCTCGATCATTGTTATTGAATCGTTGCCCTTCGGGTGCATAGTCATATGTTTCTGACGGATGTTGATACTTGATACTCTTTTTTATCTTTTCATCGGCGATTATTTTTATCGATTCAAAATTTACATGTTTCAATGTTGGCATTGAATTATCTATGAAAAACTCCAAATTTCGATTTGAGCCAGTGCTTCGAATCTCCAATATTTCCAAATTATCGAACTGCAACAAATCGGTTGATGACACTGAAAATGATGAATATTATTTACATTGTCTTGAGATCTCCTTTTGATGAGAGGACACAAGACCCCGGACGGACTGAACATTACCCATATGAGGAAAGTAAAAAAAAATGCTGTTCGTCCGGTGCCATGTGGCCGCTCACCCGATTTTATGTATTCGAACCTGTTATACTATGATTGGCATTGCCATTATGAAGTAAAACCAGTGCTTGAGTGTCTTGCGGCAATGAAACGACCAAATCTTTTGCAATCACATCACCCTGGAGCATACACATCACAAATCTGACGTACGGATTTTTCAAATGACTTTCATCGTCTTCAAAGAATGCCTAAAATTATTCAAAACAAAATGGATTAATGATAGTCGAAGGGATTTGCTCATAATAGCAAATTACTTCATTGAAAATGCCTTGGTATGTGTTTTCATTCTGTTTTTTTGTACTTTCGCCATTTTCTCTTCGCAATTCTTGTATCCAATGCGACACCGATGAATCCATAAACGCGGAACGCTGACATACGCATTGATTTGGGCAAAACATGTGTGCATCCTCCCACGTGTCTCCATCGCCATTATCGGCAGCAACGAATTTCTAGAGTTTTCAATGATCAAACGAAACCATTCAATGGATTTTCTATCTTTTTCAATACAAAAGTCTCTTATCAACTATAAAATTTTCAATAGAAAATAATTGTTGTTCGATTTTCATGCATTGCCATGTAGACGGAATTTGAACAAAAAAAAATACGAAGAAATATGACAATGTAGCAACAGCGATAGCATAGTATTTCTTAAACATTCAACAATTACGAGGAAGTACGCTGTATGGCACATTGTTGATAAGTTAAATATTTTAATGTGCGTTAATGTATTCACATTTTCCTGCGATATGTTTTACGTCGATCCAAACTTGAATGGATGAGAACGAAAACGCGACTATTTTTTCGATACAAAGTAAAACAAGTTGCGGAGAAAAGAACACAAAATTCCAAAAAAATTGCAATATTATCAAAAATTGACACAGACACCGTCAAAAGTAACGCGCAATTTCTTTTTTTTTAATTACTTGAACCAAGACTCGAACGCTTTTGATTACGTCAATATTGGCCACATGAAGAAATATTAGCAAAAAATGTCGTTGATAACCGGTAGCCATATAGCCTATATGTAGTCAATGACCCTTATTTTATTACAGACGTCACGTCTGAGACATATTCAGTCGACTACAGTGTATGCTACAGAACAGTTCACGATAAATAGTTTCAAATAGCATGTCATTAGTTTTATTGAGGTTCAGCTCAAAAACAGCAAACTGATAACACATTTTTAACAGAACTCCTTCCAATGTACAATTTTATATTGACAATTTTTTATTTATTTCTTTTTTTCATTTTGTATTCATTTTCACTCTCACTGCTTCGTTCTACATTTGAGAATATTTAAATGATAAAAACTCGCAATTTATTCGCAGATAAAATATATTTTCTTAAATATTCGTTCAATCGTTCGTAAAAATAACTATCTGCTTTATTTTTTAAAATTAAATTCCAAATCTTTTTCCAATTATTATAATTTTTAACGTAACACATTCAATTCAAGCAAAATTTGTTCAAAATATTCCACTTACAAACAATATTAATATAATAATCCAGCTTATCAACGTCATTTTCAATCCCTTTTTTTGGAATTTCTGATCTAATACTACATTGACACTTCCGATTAGATATAGCACCTAACACTTTAGCAGCAAAAATTTAACTGAAAATTTCGAAGTAATTTCTGTAACACAGTGAAAAAATGTCGAATGTCGTTTGTATTTTATGATTCTCTTGCTGAAATGTTGTGCATTCGATACGGAGTCGAGATATGAATTGAAACCCAGAGTAGTATGGATACAAAACGAGATCGGAAGGAAGTCTAACTACAGCATACAACTACATATTGTGTTTTTTCTCTTCTAAATCCATATATGTAACAGCATACATAATGTCGTACATATTGCGATGGTGTATGTCGTTTTAAGTCTATTTTACTCTCGACTTCGGAGAATTTTGCAATGTATTTCGATTTACACTCTGCACAATTTGCACACACCGAAGAGTGAAAATTGGTACTCATCACATTGTTCACTCAATTTCAATGCGTATCTTAAAATGCGTGTGCCAAGAATCAAGACACATCAATATTTAGAACTTTTTTATCGTAATTTCCAATTGAAAGAAATTCACAGTACGATTTTTCATTCATGTCGAGAAATTGAAAAAAAAAATCGAAAAATTCATTTGGAGTATTTAGTAATTGAATGCTACAAAATTGTTGTATTCAAAATGGACACAGTACTTATGTTGTGCGTACGCAAAACAATCGTTGGAATGTATATTGTACATTATGTAGAAAAGGATGTGGCGTTATCGTATTTCACATGCGATAAATAAAAAGTCAAGAATTACTCCATATATTCACGTTTTGCTGTTATGTTCAACATTTTATTTTGTTCATTTGCTGCATTAAAATCACGTTCCATTGAACGCAACGGCGTATTATTTAATTACACATTGAAAACATTGTTTGTTTGTTTTTTTCTATTTGCAGACATACCCGCGAGCGGGTTATACTTTTTAACTTATGAGTATGTGAAAGAGTTTGCGGCCCGAGAATTCGGTACAGAAGGAAGCCGTGGACTCATTGGTACGATATTTGCTGGTGGTAGTGCTGGAATTGCAAATTGGGCTGTTGGCATGCCGGCCGATGTGCTAAAAAGTCGTTTACAAACCGCAGCTCCGGGCACTTATCCAAATGGTATTCGTGATGTATTCCGTGAATTGATGACCAAAGAGGGACCACTGGCATTGTACAAAGGCGTTACGCCGGTTATGTTGAGAGCTTTTCCGGCCAATGCAGCTTGCTTTATTGGTTTTGAAATTTCGATGAAATTCTTAAACTTCGCAGCCCCAAATCTATAAATTTCATAGTGCCAATGATGCGTAGCTCCACTTTGGCGATTTGTTTAGCATGAACATATATAACTACAGTCAAACTTTATTAAAAAATAAAATGAAGAGAAAAGTCAAATGTCTTGGTTGTTGAAAAAGGTTTTGAAACATGTATTTTTGTACCGAACAAGTTTCATTGTTATGAATTAAAATAAATGCACATAAAAACTATTAGCGTTTCTCACTCCCTATAAGCTAATGAGGTAATTGGTTTTTGATGACCAATATATTCGAGTTCAACTTCTCCCGTTTCGATGTTCCACAATCTTGCCTTTGCATCGGATGAAGCTGCAAGAAAGTACAAGAAAAATAAAATACAGTTCTCCTTGCAACAAAAACAATTTTAAAAAAATGCTTGAACAAATTCTTACCCGTGAACAATCGCCTTGAGTCAGCACTGAATGCTGCATCCCAAACCCAATAATCGGTTTCAATATCAAATGTGCGATACAATGTGAAATCTCCTGATTTCCACAATTTAGCTGTTGAGTCTCCGGCACATGTTACCAAATACTTTGAATCTGGACTGAATTTGCACCGTAGTGCGTATCTTTTGTGCGCTTCAATCTTTTGCTTTGGTTGCAATGTGCTTAAGTGAGTATCGGTGCTTGAAGTTAGATTCCATATATAGCAGTTCCCTTTATTATTCACCGCTGCCATATATAATCCGTCTGGGCTAATTGCCACATCCTGAACCGAAGCTTCTACTTCGGGCACGCACTGCTCGTGTGCATCGGATTTTACATCCCACAAATAAACGCGACCGCCTTGTGACCCGATCGCCAACTCCACTTGATTCGGATGCAATGTAACCGCATTTATTGGTGTTTGACAGTCAAAGGCTCGTTTACAAATTTGCGATTTCATATCCCAGATACGAACACGACAGTCTTCACCTCCGGTGAACATCCATCGACCTAAGAAATTGTCAAACAAATGCAGTATTTTAACATACCAAAAAAATATTCGTTATTTGAGACGCAAAACATACCATCTTCTTGGACACCGATTCGTGTTATATTCTTTGTTACTCCTTCAAAATTCATTGTAGGCGTATTTGACACCATATCGTACATTCGAATATGCTGATAGCCTCCAGCTATAATCAATGACTTATCTGGCGTTACTTCCAATGCATTCACTTGCTGAAATTAAATGAATTTCATGAGAATTGCCAATTATATAATCGTAAAATGTGTAGAATTACCGAATCCGCATGCTGCATACTTTTAATACAATCTTTCGTTTCAGCTCGCCATAATTTTATTGTATGGTCATAGCCTAGAAAATAAATCAAAAGAATCGTAAAAAGGATTGAACATGTTTGCAAACACAGATTTTTTTACCTCCGGTTGCCAAGATTATTTGTCCACTCATTTTTTTAAACTATCTTTTTTTCACTCTTCAAAAATTATTCACTTGAACGGAATAATTTTTATATAGTTTTTCAAAGATGGGGAATATTTCATACAAATAAGTACATTTTTTCCTTTTACAAAAACAGACACTGTTTACAATTGTTTTTTGTGTGCTTCACAGGTTAGTATTTTTCATTGACGTTTAATGTAGCTAAAGATGAGGCTGTTGTTATTCTATCGTAGGACCTGTCAGAATTTGACATAAGTCAAAAACCTTACAATACCATTTGAAACCTGTCAAAAGGCATTTTTATTACGAAAACTTTTTAAAATGCGAAAATAACAGTTTCTACAAAAAATTTATTATTCATTATTAAAAGTCGGAGTATTTAAGGTGGAAAACAAATTAACTAAAAATGATTTGAATTTAATTCTTTTGATTTATTACATTATTAATTGAAAGGACACTTAAATCTCAATTCAGTAAAACGGAGTTGTGGGCACTTTCCTTGTAAGTTTTGCTCTTTCTTGTATTCAAGTGCGTATTCTTATGGAAGACATTAAGACTAATGAATGCCAACAACAGCTCTGCAGTAAGATCATGCAATATTCTTTGACATTTTACAATCGATATTGATTTACACTTTCGAGTCATATAAAAGCTGGAAAAAGGATTTCTGAAATGTATTTTCAGTACATGAAACGCTTCTGATTTCAGTGGCTCATTGGTTTTTCCTTGCACAAAAATGCACTAATTTAACATTAAATTATTCAATTGTTCTGTATTTGTGATCAATTTCTGACTCATTATAAAAAAACCACCCATGACTAGAAGAATTTATTTACAAATAATAATGAATGTATTAAATTGATAAAATTGTGCTAATTGTTAAACTATCATTCTAATTATCATCATACAATACACTGTTAAATCGATTCAAAATGAGTACATAATGTGGCCTGATAATATCAGTCTTGTTAAACAACATCATGTAATCATACAATTTCTACGAACGAAACTGACCATGCTATTTGGATTGTTTCGCAGGAAAAAAAAGAATGTACGGCACCAACCAATCAAGCTTCCGTGAATTGCGTTTGCTTGGAATATTATTTGAAGTAGATGTACTTGATCGGCTGCACATAATGACATAAGTGAGTGTTTGTTATTCGAAATGAAACAGAACACAGAGAGCTGCAAATCATCATCGTCTTCATGTTCAATTCGGCACATCACCATAGGCATACATAGACAATCTAGTATATTTGCTCACTTCTCTTGCGCACACAAATCATCATCAAGCCGAAGCATATGATTTAGAGGCCGATACACATATATATAAGAATGTCGTCAGCACCCATAGACTTATCGTGATCGCGGCAAATCGGCTCTTCGTATCTCTGTTTCGAATGTATTATATTTTGATGATGAGAATTTATCGCGTACCATACACCGTCGTGTGCGTTGAGTAATGTACGAACCGTATCGCAGATAAATGCCCAATATACAACCGAACGAATGAAAGAAAAAGAAATATATGGATTCACATGCGAAACTAAACGGTGTTGATGATCAGTTCACTATAGACTTTTGTTGTTAAATCAAGTGTCTCGTGTTGTGCGCGTAAGATTTTCGTTTATTTTTCACACATTTTCCATTCGTTTCTTTTTTTGGGGGGGCATTTTCAGTTGGCCGTGTTTTACCATTCGTGTCCGTTTCTATTTATCTTTTGTTTATTTTAATCGCATTCGTATGGACGATTTATTTGAAGCAAACTACTGCCTGTTGTACTTCAATAGCGTGGATATGCCGGGAATTTACTCGTCTAGAACAAAGTTTCATTTGAAGAGAACGAAGTTAAAAAAAAATGGCCGAAAATCAACTGGAGCACCAAATGGCAGCTTTTCATCACCTCAATCAAGCGAATAAATTTTCGGAAATGAGATGGCTTGAAATGGCTAGACGTCGGTTGTGTCGGCATACAAGAAAAACGTGGTTTTATTTTGTTGATGTCGCCGTTAGCAAAACGAATCCCAAAATAAATTTCGGTCGCTCGAATTCAATATTTTTGCGCGATGTCGCTTGTTTTATATTTTTATATTTAACAGACACACAATGTACTGTGAATGTGTGTAATATTACCGTTTGAATGGTGGCAACGAGTGAAGAATGTATGTTTATTTGAGTGTGTCGGCCTTTTTTTCCTCTACCTTGCGCAAATCTCGAACTTTATCAACGAGAATCAAAATAAAAATGATATAATATCCAATTCCATTGAATTCTCCGTTTGGAGGAGACGCACCGCTTCGTTTGTTTGTTTGTTTGTGGCCAGAAATGCATGCAAAGAACAATGCGCAAAAAAAAAAGAAAAAAAAGAATTGCTTCACCTTAAGACTAAATCTATGTAGAATATGCTTAGATAAGTGATGTTGAACACTTTCATTAGTTGAAAAATGTATTGCATGAATAACGATCGTGCAAACGTTTGGTTTTCTTTCAATTCTTCCGTGCTTAAGTAGCATATGAGTTGGACGATTGGTTTCTTTTTACAACAATGCAGAAGTAAAAAAAAAACTATCATCATTTGTTCATCATTTTGCTGGTGAATGTGAACTATCTCGTCTAGTATTCATACAGAGAGACACATACACGTTCGTTTCTCGCATTTACTGACGGCAAGGCGGCTAATGTAAATAGCTATAAACAAGAACATGAACATGTTGCAATTGTGCATGCAATTGAGACCCATCATCGCACATGAAAAAAGCACACACACATATATATATATCGATCGCTTAAATCATGACTCTTGTGTTTCTCTTGAACGCCAAACTATACTTTTCATTCTTTGACTCTCGTGCTCCGTGTGTGTATGTATGTTATATCGATTCCATTAAGAACTTTAAGGAAATTTTATTTCTTTTTCGTGTGTACAAGCTAGACAGAGATCGACTCACTGCTAATAATTATCGTGTATGTGCAATCAAATTGACTTCATTCTTGATTGCAGCGAGTTAAACAAAAGCATTCCTTTGTTCATGATTCTATGGAATTTATCACTTGATTTAAAGTTCTGGTTTGTTTTTTTTATCTCTCTCTTTCTCTCCACCTCTCGTTCTCTCCCGCTCTCTATTTTACTTTCGTTCCGAAACCATGGCTCATTAGATTGATTTGCATTTGCCACTTGATCAATTTTGTGATTTAGCCATTTAAAAACGTCATCACATTTCCTGAATTAAATTGAGGGACATTGAATCATTGGCGATTGTACATCGATGTGACATTTCAATCAGATTGAATTCATCAGTGGAAATTTTTCTCTCTTGCTGTCATCGACTCTTTGCTTAACCGCATCCAATGACAATATTGCACAAAGCATTTTCAATGTGCGAGAGCTCAGTTCTGGCCGAGACAATGTCTATGTATGCGTTTTGGCACTATAACATTCACATTAACTGTGCTGTTAATTGTTTCGATGTATTTACCTAAGCAGCACAACACGATGTCGAGAGGAACAGCATATTGACATAGTTCGTTTTTTTCTCACTCTCATGCCATATGCCATCTAATGGGGCTCGAGAGACCGCAATACATACACCACACACAGACCAAACTTACTAATTATGCAGTTTGGGTGAACCAATTTACCGACTTTATTACATTGGCATTCTCGTATTTTAGTGTTTTAGTATACCGTAAGCAAGAAACACATAGATTTTCTTCGTCCAATCATCGAACTTTTTTTTATCGTCAAATTTAAAACGAGTGAAGCTCATCGATGTGTGTGATGATCTGTCAAATTGTCGGTCGGTCGTCATTTTTATTAATTTATTTGCTTGTTTCTGACAATGATTTACATTCGAAAAATATGCAATAAACATTTATTTACATTACAAATCGTTGTATCTAATTAAATGAAAGTGATTTTTTTTCGTATATAAATAAATATTTGAATGAAATATAGAATTGACGTAATTTCATTGAGAAAATCGAGAACGAAGAAGATTTGGCTTGAGTACATTGTTCTCTCGGCCAAAATTTCGAATTTGACAAGTCGAAATTCTAGTTGAATTCATTCGAAATATTCCCATCGCATTGAACACCGATGACAACAGCAAAAACACCAACAAAAATAAACATTCGCACAGGCAATTTGCAAATCATGTCATTGTTTTGAGACTTTATGGTAATCAGAATTCGAATTGTGTGCATTTTTAAAATATTATATACATATATCAATGGTGAATTGAAAGTGCATGTACACGTATACATAAACACCGAAGTGCAGCCCATGTAATTGATATCGATACAAGTGCTGTAAACGTCTAAATTAGATAATTAAGCAATTCTACTTGCTATTCAAGATTCGAGAATCAAGTCCGATCCGTCGTGATTCAAACACCGCACACAGCACAGAGGAGAAAAGAAGAAAGAAAACAAAAAACGGCAAACACACACAGTATTTATCTGTCGTTGGATTGAGTTGTGCGAAATTGTGAGTACGAGTGAAAATGTGACAGAGAGAAAGAGAGTGAGCGAGCGAGTGTGCTGGACAGTGTTCAATGTTTATCGATAATTGAAAAATAGAAGAGAGAGAGAATTACCTTTTTTTTATACAAGCAAAATTGATCGATATCGGCTAATTGTATGATAAAAAAAATATACGTAATCAACAGTAACGATTCAGAACAACCGCTATGAAAAGTAAAGTTAAATAAAAAAAAATCCGATACCATAAGTAAAAGAGCAACATCGTGTACGCGTACGAAGAAAAAAAACACATAAAATTATAAAAAAAACCTCCACTTTGGTTGTGAGTTGCAATCAACAGTATCGAATCATTTTCATTCTGCGAACGATTATCGTTGTACAAACGTGATATTTGTAATTTATAAAGTGATCTCTAAATCAAGCCATTGGTGACGGCAATCAACTGTCTACTTTGACGAAATGCAAATTGCACTCGACTCGGTGGTTGTTGCCTAGTGCGCGAAAATAGTGTCTCCTTTTTTGTGTGTATGATTAATGTGTTGTAGTCGTCGATTTTGTGTATGTGTGTGTGTGCGTGTGTGTTTTATTGTGTCTGTATTGGTGTTCGTACATCGGTGTTGTTGTATTTGCGCGCTTGGCAATAGAGCAAGAAAGCATGCAAAGTAGAAAGAGTGCGTGAATCAGTTCGATTTATGTAATTATTTTGTCTATAGTGATTCGATGTGTGATTATGACTATTTTATGCATCGTCGAACTGTCTGACAGAGAATTTATCGGGTGATTTTAATACAATCAACAAAAATAGAAATAAACATTAGCCATTTCGTCCGCCATAATCGTCGTCCGCGTCTTCATCGTCACCAACGTCGATAATAGCAAAACATATTGAAATCAACTCGTCACCTGTCCGATCGTTTAATGATGACGTGAAAAATGATTTGTTTTTTTTTCTCTCTCTCTTTCTCCTTCTCTCTATCGCAATCCAGGCTCATCAATCACCAATTTAATGCTGTTTAAACTAAAGCATTGCATTTATTTAAATTGAAACGAGTGAAAAAAAAATAACGGAACGAGCGAAGAAGAAAAAAAGAAGCACGTGACACACAACGTAAATACACGCCAAGAATAAGTGACAAATCGACCGAAACAGCATCGAACGAGATTTATTCCCGACACACCGATTGAGAATGAATATGAAAAAATTCGATAAAATTACGAAGAAAACTTTTTATTTCGATTAAATGTCAATTTGAATTCCGAAGTCTTTGGGGTTTTGTTGACAATTTATTTATTTTTGCTTTGCATCTGCGAGATACATTTACACATAAAACACACATACAAAAAAAAACAGATAGAAATAACGAAAGAAAGACGCCGCCGAGGCCGAAGAACGAGATAAGAAGATAAAAAAAAACAAACAAACAAAACATAAGAAAAAAAAAACGGGTAAAGGTAACGCGCCACCACGCGGACAATAATACACTAGGAAGTGTATTAGTTGTTTCTCTACGAAAAAAAAAACAAAGCAATAACAATAACGAATTTCGAATAAATCCGAAATAAGTAATCGACCGACCCAAAATGAACAAGAGACAAACGATGATGGGTTCAGTGAAATGGCGAATGTGGGCGATAGCGGTAATCGTGATTTTGTTTGGAGTTTTTGCAAACCAATTGATGGTTTCAGCATCCCCAAATATACGTCGGCGACACAGTACACCACCAAGACTGATTGCCGAAGACGAAAGAGACAAAAGAGGAGCTGGTAAGTTGAACTCTTTTATTTTATTGTTTCAACCTCTTGTTAGCAATAAATTTGCATAATAAATTTTAAATTCGTTTTGTGCATGCCGTGCACACACAAAACAGCTCAATGTATATAAAAAACGCACCAAAAATACTATCAATGACGGCAAGACAAGAAATTTTATGGGTGATATTAAGTTTATTCCGATTTACACGATAAACATCGGTGCGTGCGTTTTTTTTTACCATTCCTCTGTGCGGTTGCCACAGTTTTTTGTTGTTGTTCGGCAATCATTCGCAAGTCTTTTTTTTCTTTATTCACAAATTACATTTCACTTTACGACCTCATCAGTACGTATGAAGTGGCTGAGTTAAATGCATTCGAGGCAACACATTGCTAAATAAAACAAGGTGAAAATAATGTTTAAAAAAGTGTATACTTTGCCGACAGGTTATCGATACATGGAGAATGATAATTGTGTTTGTTGTTGGCAAATTTGTTCCTTGTTGTTGATAATTGTCTTTTAACGATATAGTTTTTTTTTTCGCTTTGCTGCTGTTGCACTGCTCTGTATGCGATTCATGAATGGGAGTGCGCGTGAAGCTGCGAGAAGAAGAAAAAAAAACTCCCAACAACCGTTGAATGACAAAGGTGCAACGTTGGCAAGGCGTCGCGAGTTCATTTGGCGATGAGGCATTTGTGTATTCGTGCAATGATATGCAAAACGAATGCCATAGATCGATTACAAAGAAAGTATCCATGTCGCTTCACTTCAAAAAGACCAACCAAGACTGATTATTGTGTTTGCGTGTCGATTAGTATGACGTTTTTTGTTCGCTTCGCCCGACACTTTCCACTAACTGTGGTCAGTTACAAATCTTACGAATGAGTGAGAAAAAAATGGGCACCACGTATTTATCGATGTACATAAATGCATCGATCGTGCACAGCACACACACATAAACAGAGCCGGTTGATACTTAACCAGCGGCGTACAATGACGACTCAGCACAGAAATGGGATTGAGAGAGAGAGAGAGAGAAGAGAAAAAAAAACACTGCAATTTACCCGAAAATGGAAGCGATCATGATTTCAGCCCGTTTTGGTTGTTACATTCGAAGTAGTTTTGCTAAATTTCTTTCGATGCACATACACACCTGAAATAGAATCATTTCGAAAGCTACAAAATGAATTTAAAAAAAAAATGGTGCGAGATCAGCAAAACAACGCAATTCATCGATATATATATATAATATATTGAGTGCCTAAAGAAAAACGTCGTTGTTTTGTCAATGATAATTTTGTTTGATCAACGTGATTGATCGAGAGCTTACCTGTGCATTTTTTTATCGCAACAAGTTGAGTTCAAAATTGTGAGAAGCTATTAAGTTCACGTCATTAGGGCAAATATACATAGCACAAAACCAAGAAAAAAGAATTAACTTAAAGAATTGCGCAGAAAAAAAGGGAAAATGATGTTTAAATATATACGAGGAATTCGATTGAGACGAAAGAGATGCGCAGTGGCTACGTTTGCAGTGAATGCAACAGGCGAGAGTAAGTTAACAACAATGAAAAAAAAAGAAGTATTCCGAATGGTTGGTCAAAAGGTGCGATGAGAGATGATTAGCAATTAACACATGTTTCGGTTTTTCAGTATTTTCAAGAATTCAATTGCAATTGTCGCTATTTATTTCCAATTAATCAACGCAATTCAATTGAAATATGCATTTTGTATAAAATTTCTGGCCATTTTTACCTTCAAACATGGATTAATTTATAAAATATGCGGTCAGATGTTGAACTCATTTCTACCGCATTGATTTATGGCCTGTTTGTTGTTTCATCTCAAATTCAGCTCAGTCTCTCTCTCTCTCTGCTCATAGAAAGTACTTGTAAACGTACGTACAAAATGTTACGTTTAATGAACCTTGTGACGCTTGATTTCATTAAACAAGACACCACTTTCGTTCGAGCACACTTTAAATAGAGGCAGAGACAAAACAAAAAACAAAAATTATCTTGATTACTTCAAGGGATTGTCTCTATCGATTAAATCAACAAAACTATGCGCTTTTTTTCGTCTCTTTGCTTATCGATATCTGTGTGTAATGCGGCCGATAGAGTTACTTCATTTCGTTCACACTCTTCGGTCGTCGTAATCGTTTTGCTTTGTTCTTTTTCAGTCGTTTGACGTGCGTTTGTCTTAATGTTTATTTAGATCGGAACTATATCTTCCCAGCTCGACAGCGATATGTGTGCTCTCGCGTGCGCCCGTTCAAGCGACAATGACAACACAGACATGCCGTCGTACGTGTAAACAATTTGTAAATATAGGCTGCTCACTGGTTGTCGCATTCTCAATGTTCATTCTTAACTTTGGGTTTTTTGATTGTATTCATTCCGTAAACTGTTTATAGATCACATTTTCTCAGAGACGAAAGTATACAGTGAGAAAGAGAGAGAGGTAAAGCAAAGCGAGAGAAAAAAATCGTCATAAGAAATGGCAAGCACAAGTGTGTGTGAGAGAGAGAGAGCGGGAAAGATTGAGCATAGAATGAGCGATGGTACCATATGCATGTTACACGAACTATATATACTGTACGGAATTCGCATTGTAAATGTTTCCGTCACGTGTATGGCTCTCCTCCGCATCATTTCAATGTGTTGTGCGGTTCGGCGTGCGCCGACCGAGCCTCTGCTGTGCAAGCTTATGCACGATCGTTTGTGATTGAGAGCGAGAGGGAGAGAGAGAGATGAGTCAGCGCACGTTTCGTATGATATCCGTTTCGAATGCGTTTCGAATATGTGTGAGAAGTTTGAGAGAAAGAAAAGTCGGCGCAAGCTTAAGAACCGAACCTGTATGTGCTCGATCGATCGCATTGTATGGGGTTGTTTCAGTCACATCGAATCAGTTCATTCAAAGGCACAGCACCGACCAAGTGTGTAGAGAGTTGTTGGCGTATGCGCATCGCATATATTCATACAAAAGCGAGGAAAATCTCTATTTTATATACACAAACGATCGACGATTTCATTTCAGTCTCACTTGTGATCACGACGATTTTAGTGACGGTGTGTGTCACGAACAAAGCCAAAAAAAGTTTTGTCGAAAAGGAAAAATGCTTCATTCAACTTGAAGTTTCGTAAAGTGCGTTTTTTTTTTCGAAAACCTCTTCAAAACTACTACTGAAAACAAGTGATGCAATAACAAAAACGTTGAAGATTGTTTTGTTTTCATTTTTGAAATTTTTTTGCGCCATTTGAAACGGAATTTTTTTTTCTTCGATATTTTTAGAAAAAATGTGAAATTGCGTTTATTTCGTTTCTCAATCGATTAGAAATTTTTCAGTTCGATATTTCGATGATGTCCGTTGAATTTTCATTTTTCGAACGCAAGAGATACAGAGAGAGCAAGAACAAGAGTGACAACTGATCAGTTGCGCTTTGAACTATTTACTTTTATTTTCTGGATGGATTTTTTCTTTCTTTCTGTCGTCATTTTTGTATTGTGAATGAAAAATAAAATAGAACGAAACGTTTCGTGGTTGTGGTATTTCGAGTATAGAATAAAGTGTCAAAAATAAACAGTTTGCGCGCGCGACTAAAGACGACAAAATAAAGAAGAAAAGAAAAGAAAAATACTATACAACAAAAACCTACGTTTTTTTTACTCTTCATTTTCAAATCAAAATTATTCTCTCGGTCTTTGGCTATCGCCCAAGAGAGTGAGATAGAAAACGAGAAAGGAACATAGATACGCTGAAAAGCAGAAAAAAAACTATCAGACACTAAGAAGAGTTGTTTTAAATACACACATATAAAAAAATAAATAATATATATAAATAATTTTTTGTCAACATGATTGTACCGACAAGCAGAATCGGCACGTTTTTTAACGTTGCACAATTTATTGTGATAAATCTAGTGATTATATTGATATGTCTGGGCAATATGCCGACGGAAGCTCGAAAACAGATGCCATTATTGATTGATGATGATACACAAACTCGAATGAATCGACCGGGTAAGTTCGAACGCAACATTTTTATACCACATTCCGATTGATTAGAAACAAAGCTTTAATTGTATAACACACAAATATAAGCGAATCATACTACTTGAGCAAAAACTAAAAAAAACACACTTCGATATAAAACCAAAAATAATTTTTCGAGATGATCTTTCGTCAAATAAGTCGTTACGAATTTTGTCAAGCAATAAATTTCAGTTTTCACACATAATCAATCTACGGCGACATCAAATAAGCAATATTCAACCGAATGAAAGTTAAAATATAATCATTTTGTGTTGACAACATATGAAATTCATTCAATCAAAATCACGCAACTGGACATACACACAGTTAATATGAATAAAAAAAACTAGAACAATGAACTTTTCACTGTTGCTTTGAATGAATAACTACAACAACAACTGCAATATTCAATTGAATCTTGTGTTGCAATAATAAGCCGCGCTTTTTTTTCAGCATGTGATCCAATCTAAAAGTCATCAGCATAAATCATTTGCTTTATGAAAACAAGCTGTAAAGCGTCAAATTACCAGCATATCGTCTAATCAATGCCAACACCAATCACAACATTTCACGCTCATTTTCATTAGTTTCACATAAATCATGCATCGATCACGGTTCTCTTTCCCTCTCTCGATTAGATTTATATATTGAATTTATTTTGCGTCATTTTTTTTTCTTCTGTCGATACCACTTCTCTATAATATATCGTGTGTCGTGTGTGTTTATTTTTTAATTCAAATGCGCATGAGTTCAAATTCATTACAAACAAGTTTAAATCGGTTGATGTTTAAGCGTATGAATTTTGCGGAAGTTGTCGTTTATATCGAATTTGGTGATGCCAATGACAACACATTTTAAAATATCTATCCGTTGCATATAAAATTATTTTGTTTCTTTTCAATTCGAATTGTTCGATTTTTTTTCCACAAATCGATTCGAATGAAGCAGAATGAAAAAAGCAAAAGATCGTTAACGATTG